TCAATGAAATATATCCTTACACATTACACAGACAAAGACACGTACATGCTGTCTGAGCAATGTCATACGAGAGTGACATTCTTTGTGCACGCCGCAATAGCAAATTTAATTTACATTAAACTCTCAGTCACGAAATTATGTTCAAACCAGTGTGTATATAAAAAAAGTAAGGGACGATGGTGGAAATCGCGCACAACCAAAAATAAAAAAAACACTCATCATATCAACCACGAACATACTTTTGCTAAATGGCAGCGTTATTCACGAATGTGGCAAGCCTTTTCAATTATAGCACACTCCAGTTTCTATGATGCCAATATACAAATAGTATGTCATATATACGTGTACTATATATACACAGTTAAATATCTATACCCAAGTTTGGATTGCCTCTGTTTAAATTGGCTTATAATGTTCAAACGTTTTGTTTAACCACTCCCAGTGGTTTAAAAACTCGGTGCATTATGTTTTTGTTTGTAACCACATCCCTGGTTCAAAGCATATTAATCCGAAAAAGTTTTTTGTAGGTTGTATTCCGCGACCTTTGTTGCAAACTTATCGTGATAATGGTGACAATTATATCGGTCACGATCCTAATGATGACAACAACGACGCCCGTGAAAAACACCTTTCCAATTTGACTCGCTGCACAACATCGCCGCTCGATTTTAGTTTCAGGACTCCTTTCGACAGATTTCGTCACTGCCCTCGTCGGTGTTTTGTTCTCTCGGCCAAAGTCTTTTTGTGCTTTTCGGAGGTTCCCGTCATTGGGCACCGCTCGGCCAATCGGCAACCGCCACTGACTGACCTCTCGGGGTCCAATGGGCTTCGGGGCTCCGCAGACAAATGGGATCGGAGGCCTAAAGCCACCCGTTGGAGCTGGCTGAAAGAAGGGACCCCGTTCGCCAATCCAAATAGCGGATTACTGCGGTATGCGTGCAAGGCCGCCGGGCCCTGTTCGCTGTCGAGGGCTCAGGGTTTTGGGAGGTTTTTGGTTTTTTTTCCCCTCTCGAGCACGAAGGCATTTTAATTTGCCCTCGTTACTTGCCGGTGACAAATACATATCCTCTAGGTGCCAATGGCCGCAGGTCAGCCAGGGCAAGGCCACTGTACTCATTCATTAGAACGTGGGACCCTTTCCCAAACAATATTATGCCTGGGCTTAAGGGATAATGTAGGGTTTTGCTGTGCAAACCAAGAAATTGCTAACTAAATGAAGGGATCAAATGGGCAGATAACGTTTGGGCCGTAAAATATACTGTCAAATGGTCCCTTCGTAATGCCCAGGAGGTTATTTATATGGCTCTGGATAATTTTGGAGACTTAAATTAGTGCTTTTTCAAGCCGCTAAGTATGGCTATATCTGGTTACAGTTTTGTGCCGCGATAAAGAGGCAGTTAACGTTATTTACACATCTATGTGGGGGCAAGACTGCATGTGTCCGAATGTAGTTTGATAAATATTTGAGCGGTTCTTTTCAGACAGGTTCTGTGCTACACCTAAGAAACGCTACATTTCAGCCTAAAACATATTCTCATAACCCAGCCCTGCAAGCCAGGATGTGTTAATAGAAAATATTTCAGGGTTGATTAAATCGAACATGACAAATCACCCCCAAAGCATTCACAGTATGTTCAAATCTGGCTTCGAAAAGACCCGTATTAAACCATAATAATAAGCCATCACTTAATCTCCCACTTGCAGTTTGCATTGCAGTCGCAGTAATGTTTTTTACCGATGTAGGCAGAGAGCGATCTCGAACTAACAAGTGGAATGTTTTCTTTTCGTCATTTCCATTCGGTTCCTAACTTATCACAGGGCTAAAGTTATAGCGAGCTGCCTAAAAAAACCGTATCATGTCCAAGAAAGGACAGACGGAGAAAGGGAGATTTATTTTATCATTACCATTTATTTTTCTTCGGGCTCATGCATTCGTCTTCAGGTCACGACCGCTGGATTTCCATCGCGAAAATCCCTAGGCCGCACCCAGCGACCGACCCACCATGGCAGTGCGCTAACACCCGTTTTTATTCCGGGACGTCGCATGTTGGTCTAAACATACAATCTCGATAAAGAAAAAAATCCACAATGACGCCACTCAGCATGGATGGGCAGACACGCGCCGCCGCGATCGTGGGTGGGGGTGCTGGGGGGAGGGGGGAAATAAATAGATAAAACGACACGCGTACGTTCGGAACAAAAATGTACACAAGATAAAAACCATTTAAAGGATAAATGTTTAGATACTTGGGGACGTGAGCCATGGCTCGTGGCGGGTGCTGGTGGCGGGCGTTATAGAGGCGGCGGCAGGACGGGTGGCGCCAATGCCCGTGCATTCCGCCGACGCAAAACAAAAAATTAAAAGAAAAGAAGACGCAGCGGCAAAAGCCCTAAAAAAATGCGACGGCATAAAAACAAAGGGGCACCGCGCAGAAGGCGCCAGCGAAAAAGGGCGAGCGTGTTCGCGTGACGGAACTCAGGAGCGGCCGCAGACCGGATAAACATCCCCGATCGTCGTGGGCCCGCGCGTGTGTTTGGCTATTGTGCCGTGCTGTCATACCGTCGTCGCGCAGAAAGAGAGAAGGGGGGGGGGGGGAAATACAGTAAAGAAAATACAGTTCATTGTATTTGAAAATTATTCAAGGCAGTTAAGTGCGCGGTTTACTTTTTAAACTTTTGTGCGTTTGGTGTCTACGCACAAGCCGAGCGGCGCATTGCCACCTGTCTTTTAACAAAAAAAAGCACCGAATAAAAACTTTACACTGCGAACAATCGGAAAAAAAAACCTGGTCTTGACTTGACGTGCAAGGGCACAACGACTCAAGAACACCGCTTCAGCCCATATGGCACGCAGAGTCCTTTACTCTCTCAGTGAACCGACGGTAACCTGATAAAATATTTGAATCCATATTCAGGCATGGGTGATCATGAAAGGAAAACAGCCCACAAAAATCCAATTACACCAATTTCCGGATATATAATGTGTACCCTCTGCCAGCAAGTCTGCGCAAGTGTGCGAGTGTGCCTGCGTGTGTGTGTGCGCCTTGCCTGTGTGTGTGCGTGTGTGCGTGCGTGTGTGTGTGCGCCTTGCCTGCGTGTGTGCGTGTGTGTGTGCGTGTGTGCGTGCGTGTGTGCGTGCGTGTGTGCATGCGTGCGTGTGTGCGTGCGTTTTAATAAGAGGAGCGAGCAAGATGCGACACCGCAAAGCGACGCAATAAATTCGAGTGCTGACGTACAATGCGAGGCACTCGAAAATATGCGAACAGTCAATATCCACAAGTATTTCAGTGCACCGCAAGGGCTGGTTCACTGGCTCGCAGACAGAATGCAGTCTAACGTATCTGTTAAACATAGACTCAGTGCCATTCATGCTGGTCCTACAGCAGCATTCGCTGACACAAGGCACAACCCCCTACGCCGGGGGGGTGGGTTGTATGGCCTGGCTTAACCACGCTGGTCAATGCGGGTTGAAGGAGGAGGCCCCAAGACCGGTTCAGACATCCCTTGCCATTCACGCTAGCCGTGGCCGAGAACAGAACTCAGGTCACACGGTTCCGAGCGTGGTGCACTAGCTAGTTGCGCCACCACTCCCCATACAATACAAAGACACGCACACAAAAACTCACAAATATGCACATCAAACACAGACGGGTGTATATACAAAAACACAATGATCCCCCATATAGCCGTTTACAGACAATCAGGGCAAGTGGTGTTCACAGACTATCGGGCCGAGCGTGCACCGATGAAGACCTCCCACATGAGGTGGTGGTGTGGCCAACACCGCGCCCGACCGCCTTTGTCTTCCCAGCGCTTATGTTTTGTGCAAAGCATACCCAGGAGAGACCCAAGACCAGTTAAAATATTCACTCGTCCCTGACGTTCGGCTGCGAGCGCCAATCGAACTCTGGTCGCCGGGTTCGTCGTGCAGTACGCTAACCACTGCCGCCACAGCTTCCCACATATACAGAGACAGAAGAACAATGCACAAACACGCACCCGTATTTCCACGTCGGTTTGATTTCCGCCTACGGCTGGCATCGGTGCTGAGCGATATCTTAACTGGTTCTGGGCAATCCCTTTACCAAGCCCAGCATTGACCGGTGTGGTAAGGTGCAGTCAAGTAACCCCCATAACCAACATAGCATGGAGCGGCCTTCACCCGACAGTGGACTAACAATGGATTGCAAATGATGATGATTATTATTACTACCAGTGATGAAGTGTGGTTGTGGCATGGGCCCCGATTCAGGGCTCCCTATTCTCTCTTTTGTCGCCCAGATCCTCGGCACATCTGGCCTGCGGATGCCGGTGCAGTTGCGCTGCCTACACACTAAAAATATCAAGATTGAAAACTAATTTCTTTAGAACTGCTTTTTGTGTTTAATTTGCTAGGCCTTCCCCGCACCTCCAATTATCACGGTTGGTTATGTAAGGTACAAAATAAGTTCAATATACATACATACACATCGGCGCCTAAGCTGGACCCAAAGAGTGACCAATGTACGAGCAAGAAAGGTTGCACGTAGAAGATCTGATGCAAGCAGTGATGAGAAGGAAACTGGCACTATTTGGAGACCCGTGTTGTATGGACAAAAGCAGGAAAGTTAAAAGTGTGTTGTTGTTGTTCAGAGAAGTGTAAGTAACTGGAAAGAGAGAGAATGGCTTAACGACGACGACTTAATAGATTGGTGCCAGAAAGATGTGTGCACTACCTGAGCAAACTGGCACAAGACAGAGGAAAGTGGAAACAAATAATGAATTATTTTATTATGTTTTATTTTTATTATTTTATTACTTCCCTTCTACGTGACTTTACCGAAAGAACCAAGATGAATCCCTGCAGTCACGAAAGCTTTAAATCGAAAAATAATTAAATGTGCAGTGGACACCTACTCAGCTATCTGTCCGTGGATCGTGATGATGATGATGATGATCGACAGCCACCGATGACTACAGCTACTACTGCCGCCGTCGTTACACTTGTTCTGACCGCTCACCCTCTCCACGGTGCCCTCCTTGCTCTTGGTCTTGTAGACGCGGAGCTGCGCCAGGCTGGCTTCGCTGTAGCCCTTCTCCTCGAAGCCCTCCAGCAGCGTGCCGTGGAACGCCAGGCGGCAGCTGTTGGCGTGGATGTCTGCGTCCAGGCGGGACGCGATCACCTGCGCGCAAGGAGAGCGCGCGTTTCGTCGGCGTCTGTAAACGTGTGCGGCGCGCCACGTATATTGCCCTGCAGCAGATTGGCTCTAAAGAGTCCCACCACCAATTAGGGTATTTTTTATATTTTTTTATTCCAACTGCGCTATCGTATAAATATGGGGCTCTGTTAGAGAATGGCCCGTGGTATGTATGTTGAACTTTATAGCTCATAGAATAGAATTCCTCCAGTATAAATAAACATTCTGATTCGCTCGCTCACCTTGCAGGGCCGTGGACAGGTGACGGGGCGCTCAAACTCCAGCAGAGCCCACTGGTGCCGCGGTGCAGGATTGGGGGCGGTTGTGGTCCGCTCATCAGCCTGCCACAACACACCAGATCACACCACAGTGACGTCACAGCACACCGGAGCATGCCAAGTCACGCCAAAATATTCCACCATCAGTCATCATGAAAGGAGGGCATGAAGGCAGCTCCATTTGTGGATTAACAACTGCACTAGGCATGGCATAGTCAAGAAGCACTGGGCATGGCATGCTTAAGTGGGCGCCACAGTGATGAGATGTTAACTCCCTCGCCTGGTATACAGGAGGCCATGGGTTCAATCCGGACCCTGACACCTGTATATTTGGAGCTTGCGTGTTCTCCCCATGGTCGCGTGCATTTTCCTCCAGGTCCTCCGGTTTCTCCCTCCACATTTAGAAACATGTGCTTAGAGTATTTGGCTGCTGTAAATTCCCATGTGACAGGCCACTTCGTTCAGCTATCATTTGTGATCAGGTCGCTTTGAAAAAGAGCTCTATAGCTGCGTGGGCCTTATCTGGTAAAGTAAAACATTTTTCGTTGATAGTTTTAGTTTCCTGGACGAATAAACGACATGGCAAGGACTGTTGCTCTTATTATTTCATGGGGTGCGGGCAGGTTCACATCGGCCCGCGGCAAATGTCCACAAATACATGGAAGGATCATCACGGGAGCCACCTGCTCAGCGCGGTCCTTGGGCTGCTCGGCCAGGAACTCATCCTGGTACGCGTAGTCTCGCGAAAAGTCGAAAGCGGCGTCATCGCCACCACCATCGTCGCCAGCCCCACCGCCGGCTCCGAAGAAGGAGACCCGGGCGAGCACAGTCTCGTGGCCGATGGTGACGTGGAACTTGGCGCGCGTGCTCACGGCGCCACGGAAGTAGGGCACGCGGCGCACGGAGGCGATGCCGGAGCGCAGCGACAGCAGCGAGCCCGGCGAGCACACGAGCCCGCGCTCCAGCAGTTTGGGGTCGAACTGCGTCACGCAGAGACCGACGCGGTCGCCCTGCGCCGCCGACGTCACCTGAGGGCCAGCGGACGGGCCGAGTGGGTGAGTTGTGCGAACTATGAGCGAGTGAATGCATGGGCGAATGAGGGAGTAAGCGAGTGAGTGAATAAGCTACGTGAGTGATGGAATGAGCCACACACGTTCGCCCTGCACCTGAGGTCACCTGGGCTGGCAGATGGACTAACAGTGAATGAGTGGATGCATATGAATGAATGAATTACCGAATGAATATGTGAGTGAATGCATGCCTGCAGGCAGACATCACCTGGGCATACGGATGAATCAGCAGATCAACAGGCGAATGAAGAGATGAATGTATGGGCGAATGAGGCAGTGAATGGTTGAGCAAATGTAGGAGTTAATTTGTCACTTAATAAGTGAATGTATGAGCAAAATAGTGAGTGAGTGAATGAATAAATGTATAAGTGAATGGGCGAATGTTGTTAATAAGTGAATCGGTGGCTTCATGAGTATGACCAAAATAGTGAGTGAATGTACAAGTAAATAAGAGGATGTGTAAATGAACTTGTGAATGTATGAGAGAACGAGTGAGCCAACTCCAGCAGAGTGTAATGTAATTTAGTTTCTAGTTTTTTTGTTGTTGTCACTGCTTAGGCTGACTCTGTGCTTAGGGATCCCATGCTCGGTGTTGAATTGCAAAAGAAATCGAAACCCAAAGTGGTTCCCCCACTCAGGTGAGCACAGGGTAGGCACCCACCTCTAGTTCAAACCACCGAGCCAGCGGTGGAAAGTCCACATTCCTATAGAAGGGGGCAAGTCTGTCCATATAAGACCATCACTTTGAACTTCCCACAAAGTGTTACTCGTTTTATCAACCCAGCACAGTCGACGGCCTGACTTAACCCCTCCCCCCCCCCCCATCAGAATTTGAACTCGTAGCCTTCCGATTGCAAACGGCAGGCTCGAACCGCTGTACCACACAGCTGGATTTTATTCTAACGTCTAACTATGCGGCGGAGGCGCAGAAACACGTTGAAAGTCGGGGTGTCCCACGTGCATGCGTGTGCTGCGTGAATATGCGTGCTGACCATGTGTGTGTGTGTGTGATGATCGTGTGAATGTGTTCGTCTGCTGACTGTGTGTGTGTGTGTGTGCTCTGCCCATGAATATGTGTCTGCTGTGTGTGTGTGTTCACTGTATCAATGTGTGTGTGTGCGTGTTGTGTGTTCTATGTGAATGTGTACCAAGTGGATGAATATGTGCATGTGTTGACTGTGTGTTTGTATGCTGGGGGGAACGGTAGTGCAGCGGGTAACGCACTGCACTTCAAACCCAGCAACCCGGGTTCGATTCCTGCTCACGGCCAACACCAGTGACGAATATCTAAATCGGTCCTGGGCCTCCCCTAGGTCGACTCAACCTTAAAGTGTACCTGGTACGGTGTGTAAACATCGCCACAGGGGGAGACAAAGGCGGCCGGGCGCATATTGGCTACCGGCCTTCATAGGTGCTACTCACTAACAGCACTTGCCCCAACAGTCTGTTAAGGCTATATGGGGGATCTTTGCCTTTGCTGACCAAGGGTTCTCTTAGCCATTTATAAACTTTTGGAAGGTGTCCGGACACCCACTGTGAGTGTGCGCCTTCTCTACAGGCTTGGAGGGATCTCTGCACCCGTTACAGTTGTGAGTCGAGTGATTTGGGGGAAAATAAGTAATATTTAAAAATACTTTTTTTTAAACACGCTTTAATGAAATGTACCCGACTCGTAATGACAAAACTCCACGACTCCAAAAAGTGGCCGCAAAGCTTGCCATAACGTAAGGGGCTATGGTGATTTACAGCCAACGTCAGTTGAGCATGGACAATAAGACCCAAGCCGAAACATAACATATAAAAATGAATGTTTAAAAATACTTTTTTTATAGCATATAGTATTGTCATCAGTATGACATAAGTATACCAAGTTTTCAGTCGATACCACATTGGGAAGTGGATTAAAATTTAGTTACAAGATTTGAGGATACAACAACGACAACAGCAACAACAGACAGAGTGAGTTAAATAAAAGCGTGTAAATAAAAACACTTGCCGTTCATTCGCAATCAGATGATAGCTCAAGTGAGAATAAAGCATATTTAACCAAGATTTTAAAAATGCACGAATATTTACTCAAACAGCCGTTGTATCAAGCAGTCAAAGGATTTAACAGCAACTTTAGTAAATTACTTTAAGACACTTCGACCGCTTCAATTTTCGCTCGGTAAATATGTTGTTGGGGGGGGGGAGGGGTGTCCCTTCACTTAACGAGTGCCCCCAAATGTTCCTGTTCAAGAGCACAATGGGCTACGTGCGCCAGCCGCCGGGAATGAACACTGCCCGTTGGCAAGGTACGGTCTCACGAGACGGGCTCTGCTTTATTCACAGATTTAAAATAGCACCGCCGTCTCCCGCTGTGCGCAACAGTGGCGAGATGTTAACTACCTCGCCTTGTTTACAGAATGTCGTGGGTTCGGTTCCGACCCCTGACACCTGTATATTTGGAGTTTGCACGTCTTTCTCTGCTGTGGATTTTCCTCCGGGTCCTCCGGTTTTTACCTCCACATTTAGAATCAACATGCGTTCAGAGTATTTGGCTGCTATAAAAATTTCCACAATGATAAGCCACTTGTCATTAAACTATCATTTGTGGCACGGTCGGCTTAAATTCAACATACATACATTCTGAAAAAGAGATATTTAGCTCTGTGGACCCAACCTGGTAAAATAGACAAAAAGCAGTTATGTTTTAGCTTTGTGCCCGAGTGAATGTGCGCACTCACCGGCTTGCGGAACATCTGCATCGATTTCACCTTCTTGGTAACCTGCGGCAGATGAGAGGACAAACACTCCCCTCGTATGTCAGCTGGTCAGAAACAACCAGTGTGGATAAAGCAATCGCAAAGGTCGCACGAGCGCATCGTCGGGCGCACCGCTCAATTTGGACACATACTCGTACGGACATGTACGAGTAAGCGCACAAATCCCCTGTGTCAATCCACTGCTGAACGGGGGCCTCCCCGACGGGCGTGCAGGTCGTAGGGGTTATTTGACCATACTTTACCGCGCTGGTCAGTGTGCGTTGATGAAGTGGGTGGCATAAACATGGGGCCCTAATAACAATGTATTGATAGATATTCTGAGTCTATAACACCTACTATGAAGGGTGGTCATCTATGCAAGAATTGACCAGACCCAAAGTCCTGCTTAAGTTGTGGCATCTGGCGAGCTCAAGCGCATTCCTGGTGATTTGGCTCAAGGTACAAATTCATATCTGGTGCAGAACTCGAAAATAAATGTTCTCACAATATTCCAATTTAAAACGTAATTAGTAGTGCAGACATGATTCCTTGTAAAAGGTTTCAGTTTGGTGTTTTAACATCTTAACACCTGTTTTGTTGCCAGAAAAATGGGGAAAAACCTATTCTCGTAATGAGTGGTTTCACTATCTTTTGCAGTATTTAACAACATTCAGCTAAACATATGATTTGGTCATAATGAGGCTCCTTCTGCTTTGGCAGTTGTCAGCCAACATCTCAGAGCCGCCCATCCCTGGTGTAAAATGCAGTTCACATCAACATGTTTTACAATTGTTTATATTTTTCTATGTTCATGGTCTTGTGCTCCACCTACTGGTTATGATGGCAAGACCTACAACCATCAAGGCATGTCAAAGCGACCGTACCTTATAACAAAATAAATAACCAATGTCTACTTCACATATCCGTCTCTCCACGTAAAACATTAAAGTATTTCTTACACAACTCATCAGCCGCAAGGCTTTCTATTAGTGCACATTTTCAGCAGCAGTGATTCAAATACAAGAAAACTCTGGAACCGGTTTTGACATACGGTGTCTCATCAGCAGAGCCAGTTTTACTTATAGCTCGACATGTGTTTTCCGGTTATGCCGCATGTTCTTGGGCGTGATGTCTTTACGTATGCAGGTTGAACTTCTTTCGCACCGTACGTAGCCAACCGTTTTTACTTCTTTGGAAAGTGAAACATCGGAGGACATCGTGCCAGGCAACACGTGGTTCATCCCAAAAGCACGTTGGAGAGATATGCAGCGCAACCAGGAATAGCTATTTAATAAACTCAACTCATTAGGACTTCCGCCAACCTGGCGTGGACACATACACACCTTGAGAGCAGGAATCTCCACAGTGTCATTGACAGACACGCTGCCTGAAAGCACGGTGCCAGTCATCACCGTGCCCTGGCCTCTGATGCAAAAGCAGTGGTCCACGGCCATGAGCAGTGGTCCTGCAGGGTCCCTCTGGGGCAAGTACGTCTGAGACAGAAGCAACTGACATCGACAGAAGCAGGTAAGGGGTGATGACTCATTGAAAGGTAACAGCAGACTCAATAAGTAAGAAGCATCAATGTCTCATCCATGTTATAGTCATGTTCGGTTTTTTACCCACATGGCAAATTATACAAATATTGTATTTTGTAAAAGTTCCTTCTTTTTATGACCAATTACAGCCCTCCGCCAAATCATTGAACGATAAAGGCTTCCCAATGCAAAGCTGGTAATTTTGACCGTATTTACCTACATTTATCAATGAGGGTTGGTAAAGCAGTGGGGCTGGAGTTAACACGGTTAAAGATATAACTCGCCACCATGGCTGGGAATCAAACTCCGGTCCCTAGGGTGTAAAGTACAATGCGTTAACCACTCAACCGGTCCTCAAATCCCCCTTATTGTGACATTTCCAAAACTTTTACACTTACCTACAACCATATAATATGCAAATAAGCATGTCCCCATACACAGTCATTATTTATCAGTGATTCATCGACCATTCATCAACGTGAATCACTCACTGTTCCCCAGAAAGCCTCATTCGTCTCGCGCTAACAGCATTCATCGTGTGTCACTATCGGCCGTCATTATTCACCGGCGTTAATCACTGCTCGCGCCTGCAACGCCAAGCGCCCATGCCCACACGGAGCGATAACTCGGGACGGCTGTGGGTCAAAGCAGCACAGAGGGCGTCTGTGCGTGTGTGCGATCGCCCCGCACGACGACGCTGTGACTGTGCAAAGTCGCGCGACTGCACAACCTCCGGGTCCGCGGATGACTCACCCCGGGTTGAAACCAGCGACAGGTTTGATACAAATCGATGAATCGCTGCACAGTTACACGTCTAGTAGCCTCCAGGTGGCTCACCTCAATGAGTTCTGCGATGCCCTCTGCCTCCTGGCCCTCGGGTGCATCCGGGCCGCCTGGTTTTGCTGCCACCGAGATTATAGGAGCCCCTTTAAACCTGCGCAGACCACATGCAGTCCATCTGACGTGAAGGAGTTTATTTCCCCAAGCAAAGCATGCCCCCCAAGGGCACCACTGTGGCAAGATGTTAACTCCATCGCCTGGTATACAGGAGGTGGTGGGGGTTCGATCCCGACCCCGACACCTGTATGTTTAGAGTTTGTATGTTCCACATGATAAGCCACTTCCGTTGGGCTATTATTTGTGGCCAGATCGCTTCTGAAATAGAGATATATAGCTCAGTGGGCCTTAGCTGGTAAAATAGAAATAGTTTATAGTTTAGTTTAAAGCCCACCGAGCTATACAGCTCTCTTTCAAGGGCATCTCGGCCGGCAGACAGGAGCTGTGTGTCACTGCACCAGGCAAGCTGAGCTACTGCACCTCATGCGATCCACATTGTTCATTGCTGAAAATGTACTTTTGTCACATTTGGCCAATGCAATTATTTCCATTCAAAAGCAATGGTAAATATGTAGGATGACAAACACAATGGTGTGTAAATATATATATATAATATAAATATACACATGCATAGTTTAGCATTTTATTTGTAACAAACAAATATGATATATACCATATTATGGCACGAAGAAACTTCAGGCAGCGACGTGCATAACATATTTGTTTAAACAGTGACTGTGATCAACCTGTACATGGGGGATACATTGTAGCGCAATCATAGAGGTCCTACTTTACCCACATAGTCTGGGACACTCAGCGATACGTGATGTCAACTCCCTACCCTTGTTCAAGTCCAGGCTGAGCAGACTACAACCGACGTCACCTTTGCAAATACCACGACCAGCATGTGCACTCCCCTATCACACGGTGGTACCTGGTGTTCTCCAGCGTCTTGTGCATCTTCTTAGTCATCTTCTCGATGAGCGTGGCGCGCTTGGCTTCGGGCAGCATGTCCGTCTTGTTGAGCACGACCATCATGCGGGGGCAGGTGATCTCTCCAATAAGCAGACACTCGGCCGACTGCGTCTGCATGCCCTTGGTCACGTCGATAACCAGCATCATCAGGTCGATGATCTGTGCTCCTGTGGGGAGACACGTCTGTGAGCACCTTTTATTGTCGCTTCATCATCATCATCATAATCAATATCAAGAGGAGCATCATCATTATGATCTTAAGCACTTATTGTTACAAATAACACCACCATGATCATCATGCTTATCACCAAAATCATGATCATCACCACTAATGTCATCATGATTACTAACATAATTGTCGTGTTCATCATATCGTTGTAAATCAACACTACCCACCATCGTTGTCATCAACACCTTCATCATTTGCATAACACAAATGCCACCATCATCATGATGTCAATCATCATCACTCGTGGCCACGATAACAATCATTGCCTTAGGTTATTTTGGAAAGCAGAAGGAACAATTTAACAACAACGCATCATTGTAAACAATGTTGTACAAATAAAGCAATACTTTTATTATTGAAATAAATTGGCAGATGGTATGCACTTTTCAAAATGTTCCTGCAATATTGTTACTGTCAACTAAAATAAACAGACTTCCTTATGTCTCTCCACATAAAAAAATACCATCTAATCCATCAGCCTTTTGGCCTTTGAGACCCATTAACCAGAATGTGTAAACAAGCAAACCTGATACCGGTTCCAATGTTATGGGTTTCAGTAGCAGTCAGCCTGTTTTACTGTTAGGTTGCAATATGTTATTCACAAATGCATTTCATCTTCAGCTCAGTGAAAAAAAAATGCAATGTTGCATAAAAACTCATGAGATACCATTGTAGAGCATTATAGGTAAAACGAGATGGCTATAATAGCACATACAAACAAAATGTGTTTTGATCTAAGAGCCTCTTGGACTTCTGGACTGACGTTTACCCTGTGGCATTTTGTTGACTGGAACCTGCAACGCACAAGTCCACGATCAAGAGAGCCACCGTGTCTGTGAACATAACCGATGTATTTCAAATCCCATGCAAAACTGGCGCCTAAATGCTGAAGGAGAGTCAGAAAAACCCTAAACAAAAAAAACCTGCGTGTAAAATATAAAACAACCTCCCAGCGCTGGCTCCTGAAAAATAAAACAGATTGCAGCGATAGCGGTTTTTTTGGATTTTGAAAGAAAAAGTTACAGAGCCTGGACTATTTTCGGAGTCCTCTCGTTAAAAAGTACACCCGCAGTCTTGGCAGGAGTGCATGCGTGCGCGAAAGTGTGTGTGTGTGCGTGCATGCGCCAAAAACATTTCCCAGGTAGTGCACATCAATGAAAATACCCGCTCACTCATGCACCAGCCTTTAGTTCCCAGGAGACCAGTCCAAAGTACCAAAACAACCAGCCCTTTGAAGGACAGCCTGATTAGATGTTTTCCAGATAAGTAACGTAATGATGCACTTTATTTAAGACGGCTAGTTCAAATAAACAAGTGGGTCCACTTATAACAATTTTTAAGCGCGGGATTTTATTACTGTACAGTGCTTGTAATTATAAATCGGTATTGTACGAAAGCAAAAGTTTCAAAGCCGTCGTCTTTAAAATGCCCTATCAGTGCCACGAGCTTAAGAAGGTGATGACATCTGATGAAAACTAGCGGCAGAAGCCAAGCAAAGGGTACCACCAAAGTCGAGATGAAATGATACAATCAGGGGTCATGTGGGAGCGATGTGAATTTCAAACCAAGAGCCGGTGGCATCACAACATCAAAAGCCTTATTTTCAGAAATTAATCAAAAATGACCACGAATATTAATATGATGATGTTGCTAGAACGATGACGTGGCGCGTCTGCATGTGTACAGCAGGTTACGGTCTCCCCTACCACGAACACATTATCTAATTTGGCTGGAGTCTGCCCGAGATTAGTGCCGCCAAGGGGACACACGGCCAGTCTTTGGACGTGACCAAGCTTACATAGGGGCCTCGTCTGCCATCGTGGGCCACACAGGTCAGCGCAAATGCCGGCTGCACACCCCACGCGCAGTCAAAGCAAACGCGCCAAACACAGCCTTTATCTGGGCAGGTATGAGATGGCACTTTAGATTGCTAAGCCGCCCTTGAGCTTGAGCCTGCATCCGGAGAATCCACGCTCAACGACCACCAACGGCTCCCGCATCGGCACGTTCTATAGTTTCCTCGCCAGCACGAGTTGATGGTTCCTCTGGTTTTGTTTAATTACATACAATGCGGTGCACTGTATAGCCAGCCAGCCGCTCATTTGTTCTGTCATTGTGCTGACGCCAAGAATTGCCATTTGCCAATTCCTGATGTAATGAGCATATGCTGTCTGCCGATGTAAGATAAACATAACAGATCTCACGATAATGATCAGGCAAAGACAGGTCATTGTCTCTCACTGCCATGGTCAAATGTTTAGATTGATGCACAGGGAATGTCATATTTCTATTATATCCTTTCTGAATGTATCTCTTCTACCCTTAAATGGTAAACTTGTTTACAAATAAAAAAAAATATACAATTTACGAAAAAATGTAATGCTTTAGTGGCAGTGCACAAGCACAAATAAAAAAAACCCAACACATGTTTCGCTGTTATGGAGTGCTATTGCCGAAAATGTTGCCCATTAAACAATATTTTCATCTGTAGGGCAGTATTATTCACGAAAGTATTGACGTTTTTTTTTATCAGTGACCTTGTTAAATTCCGCAAGTTGTTGTTGTCACGTGATGTCCACTTTTAGTAAAATGGTCCTAATTACAGTACAGTACTATTAAAGTGCCCCTTCCTGAATTCTTGTGAGGACTAAATGCCACGCTACCGCATTTGAAGGGCTTTTAAATACTGTAGCTGAACTGCCATGAAGAGAAATCCATTTCAAAACTATTTCAATGTGCCCATTCCGCAAAGTGGTACAGTATGCGAGCATAGCTAGCCGCTTAATGTATACGAATTGTCTATTACAATTATATACAACCTTGGTGATATTGAGAGGTATAGAATTAAACTCACCTGTCCGGATAATCCCTTTTGTCACAATACACTTCTGAACAATCGAGTTCAACTCTATAATATGAAGCGCATTACACTCATCTGTTGAGTGAGAGGAATTGAAAGGTTGACTGAAATGGGATTTGGTCTAATGCTCTGTGTCAGCCTCTGGATCAAAAGCCTGGCCTCGTAGAGAGAGAGAGAGGAAGGGCCTCTCAACGATAAGACACTTTTGAGTGTTATCCAACGTTTGCGTTATTGAAGAGGTGTGTGGAGACACCTGCTGGGCGGTGACAGAATGACAGGCGATCCAGTGTTTTACACGGATGCAATTGCGTGCAATCTGACCTGTGACCAAATCACGCGGGCATCCAATCAATCTCGTAGAGATCCCGAAAGCTCAGCAGGTTTTTAAATCCTTTATATTAAGTTCACTTGCTTGCTTGCGCGCTTACGACCGTGCAAATCTTTCGGTCGTTTTTTAACCCACTTCCCCTGATCCAATCGAGCTGACATTTTGCACACAGACTCGTTGTGCGTGACAATATATTTTCGTGAAATTTTTTTTAAAAAATTTCCGCTTTTTAGGAAAAAAAATTAATATTTAATTACCAATTGCTTAATGGTGGCAGGCAATCATCTGACCCATAGGTGGCAGCCATCTCAAGCCAGAGGACGAGAGGACTCTAGCCGCCACGCATATAAAGGATTTATAGTGAAAAACTTAGTTTTTACGGGTTAATTTTTTTAAGCCACACCAGCAAGCTTTTGAGCCGCCATGCATGAAACCGAGGGCTGTTAAGGCCACTTTTTCGCCAACACAGGGCAATGCAATACAATGCATACATTGTCCAGATGTCTCGTGACCCCCCGATTTTTTTTATTGCTTTGCATATTTATTTCTGTTTAAAATGAAGTTATTTTATTTTAAAAATAAGTTTTAGAGAATTTAATTGGGGTCGCAAGACATCTAGAGCACCCTATGCTTTTCTGGCACCCCGATGCCCCCCTCTTTCACCGCCCCCCACTGAATAGCATGAAGTATGGTCAATGAATCAGTGCACATTAAACTGCGCAATTTGCAAACGTACCTAAAAGTTCCTCTGTGTGCCAGCACGGACGTCAATCATTGATCATGACCACGTGATTATGCTGTTGTTGATCCTGTTGTCCTTAAATGTTGCTGCTGATAGTAATTAGGGTGTCATACAATAACCGTGCATCACTAAATGCTGCTGCTACTGACAATGGCTGTGGCTATGCACGCCTGTAATCCTGCACTTTGGCGGCGGCGATGATGGTCCTGTTGCTGATGATAATCATGCTCCTCTTGCTACCGTTTACAGCCAATGCTTTAATTGTGCAGTCTCTCAATTACGCATCTGCAGCTGCTAATCACAATTACCACGTTGCCCCCCTGCTGCTGACGATAATTATCCGGATGACCTCCTGACCTCGGCACACAAACCCAGATCAACAAAAAGGCCCCACCATTCAAAACACAACCCCGCCTATCTCTTGACGGCTTTGAGACTTTAGATGTTAATCTTCTTCTTAATAATGATGACCGGGATCGTATGGGCCGGGCAGGGACCCTAATGGGGCAACCAAGAGCCTGTTCCACGTGTGCAGTGCGTGGCGGAGGGTGTAGCCGTCGTCTCTTCGTTCATTCCCCCCGATACATTTGCTCGCAAAAGCACATTCACAAACCTGAGACCAAACACACACAAGCAACACGCGAATTGTCCGTGGCATCATCACCAAAATTGCCAGTGAACAGCAACAGGAAGCAGCTTTCGAGCAGCGAACGTACTGCCTGCCTCGTCAAGGCACACCTCCTATGATGGTCCTGATGAGCGACGCGTGCCCCGGGCAGTCGACCAGGGTCACCTGCAGAGCCTCGAAGCCACCTGCCCTGGGGTCATCGCGCAGGTGAGATGGCAGCGGTGCTCCAAAGGCCGAGAACCCCAAGTCCAAAGTGATTCCGCGCTCACGGCTCTGCGGATTCTTGTCGAAGGCGGCCGTGGATGCCGTGCTGCTCAAGACCCTCGCCAGCGATGTCTTGCCGCTGTCCACGTGGCCGAGGACGCCCACGTTGAAGTTGAACGCTTTGCAAGACATTTGGCGATGGAGGAGGCGAGATGAGAGACTCCGTGCCGGGCATCAGCACCCGCATGGGCATCAGCTGTTGTGTGTTAAAGGGGGGCGGACCAACGCACGATTTTAAAGACGACAAAGACGACATCTTACTAAGGGCTTCCTCTCCAACAACAACCACTGCTGCCATTCGCCACTAAGCGGCGGTGACGTCCCCACGACGCTTGTGCCAGGCCATGTGCACATTTTGAGGCCACGTGAAGTGTCGAACGCCCCGCTGGCAGGAGGTCACGGGGCAGACCCAGCAGAGGTCACGGGTCGAATGAGTGAGATGAGTGGCTGATGCACCACCTGTGCCCCCCTAATGTGCCAACTCTTCCCTCCCCACCATCACCAACAAGACTTACATCTTCATCCGTAACCAGAGGGGTGGTTGTGTTTGTTGTGTGCTGAGTTGGATCTCGTTAAACCCGACAATTAGCAAGGGATTTGTCACGTAAACAGAACGCGGAGATTCGTTATTACTACGGTAACAATCCGGTGTGTTGGATAGTAAATGCACAATAATTACAGAATCTAGAACAATTACAGTCTTCATCATCATCTTCATCACGATCCGCGGGGCAATTTCGCGAGCCAAACTTTAGCTGTACACTGACCACACAGTTCGTCATGTTTACAGAAATCTCAATATTTGTTGGGGTTTTCCCCTGGAGGAATCCGATGAGCTATGAAGCTCTTTTTCTCCCACAGATGCCCAGTCATGGGGGGCACGGGGTCAGAACGTTGCAACAATGAAAAAAAAACGATAGGAGCCCAAAGTATTGGAAATGTAAACAAATCACTTAAAATATCTAAATTAAAAACGATAATTTTTTTATTACCAGATAAGGCTCACTGAGCCATTAGCCTTTGTTTTCAGAAGCGACTTGGCCACAATATAAAATATTCTTAAACGACAGCTTATCGTGTGTTGTGCCAATGTGCTCAAGCAGTTGTGCATCTTTCTGGCAGACCCCCCCCCCCCACCCCCTTAACTATGACGTCACAAAGCTCTGCCCCCTCCCCCCCAAAAAACATACAACATGCTTCAAATCGCTTTAAACTATTGTCATTGTAGCGCGTATTTAATGTGGCGCTGCACTCTGATGTTGTAGGAGAAAACATTTATTAAAACGTCTATTTAATGAAGTATATTTAAAGTTGCGCATTTTGATGTGACGTCACATTTCTCAAACCCCCCCCCCCCTCGTCACACATCGTCACAAATGTCTGACCCCCCCCCCCCCCGCTAGGTGCGTGACGTCATTTATGGACGGCCCCATATCCACTCTCTACACACGTGTGTGTCCAAATAGTGCCAATTTCATTCTCATCACCACTGCCTGCATCATGAGCTCTTCTCTCTACGTCTACGTTGACAACTTTCACGATTAGCAGCGGAAATAAATGACGAAATGTACGGTGGACATCGACAGGGGCGATCTTGCACCACCACATCGATCACGACGACGATGATGATGATAACGATGCCATGGTTTCATAGCTGTCAACCCATATGGTTTACCTGCATTCTTGTACAGGGAAATTTATTTTTGGAGGTCCATACGGCCTACAGCCGTTTCAATAAAGGCTAAAAAGTTATAATCATTTTGTCTATTTGTTCGTGTTTCTCCCTTGTGATGGGATTTTGTAGGATGAACGTTGAGATTTTTAGGGGCACCACTGGGTGATCAATAAGGGCTGAATCTGTGCGCAATACGTTAAGGGGGTCCCTTAGGAAGATGGCGACCACGGGCCAACATGGCCGTGACGTCACCCCCCCTCCCCATTTCCTCCCCCCCCCCCCACCGTCGCTTCCTTCCCATTGGCTGAGCCGCGTCTCCATAGCAACCCACGCGGTCGGTATCGCCGACGGCACGAGGCGCGCGAGCCCCCACCCACCGACCCCCACCCACCCCCCACTTCCCCCGCCCCCCACTTTGCAATTCGTACAACGAACGAGGGCGGCTTCGGAGCGTTCCACCCGTTTCTATCGGCGGGGTCGCGCGCGCGGCCGTAGCAACCAATGGGGAGCGAGCTTTCAACTCGCGCACCGACCAATGGCAGGCGGTGATACGGGAGGCGGCCGCCTATGCGTTGTGGGAAATCTAGCGAGGCGTGGCGACCTGCTTGTGAGAAAACCCCGCCAACGAGTGGCGCGTGGTCGCTTCTTTCTGTGTTTGTTGCCTTCGCGGGTTTCCTTTCGTCTCTCTCTGTCTTCTTAATAATTCGCCATGAAGATCGAGGAGGTGCGGAGCACCACCAAGACGCAGCGGATCGCCGCTCACAGCCACGTCAAGGGCCTGGGCCTCGACGAGGCCGGCTTCGCGAAGGCCAACGCGGCCGGCCTGGTGGGGCAGGAGATGGCGAGGGAGGTAAGGGAGAGAGGGACACGCGAGTCGCCCTGTGCCCTCAGGTTGGGTGTCGTGGAGGCCAAGTAGTCGCCCGGGTCTCGCGTCTCTTCGTTGTGTAGTCATCGCGGCGCCCACGATATGAGTTGATTCAGTCTCTTCATCGTCTACCCCCCCATCGTCCACCCCCCCCCCCCCCATCGTCTACCCCCCCCCATCGTCTACCCCCCCCCATCGTCAACCCCCCCCCCCATCGTCAACCCCCCCCCCCCCATCGTCAACCCCCCCCCCCATCGTCTACCCCCCCCCCATCGTCTACCCCCCCCCCATCGTCTACCCCCCCCCCCCATCGTCTCCACCCCCCCATCGTCCACCCCCCCCCCATCGTCTACCCCCCCCCCCCCATCGTCTACCCCCCCCCATCGTCTACCCCCCCCATCGTCAACCCCCCCCATCGTCCACCCCCCCCCATCGTCAACCCCCCCCCATCGTCAACCCCCCCCCATCGTCTACCCCCCCCATCGTCAACCCCCCCCATCGTCACTCCCCCCCCCATCGTCTACCCCCCCCCATCGTCTACCCCCCCCCATCGTCTACCCCCCCCATCGTCTACCCCCCCCATCGTCTACCCCCCCATCGTCCACCCCCCCATCGTCAACCCCCCCCCCATCGTCAACCCCCCCCCATCGTCTACCCCCCCCATCGTCAACCCCCCCCATCGTCACCCCCCCCCATCGTCTACCCCCCCCCCCCCATTGTCTACCCCCCCCCCCCCATCGTCTACCCCCCCCATCGTCAACCCCCCCCATCGTCCACCCCCCCCCATCGTCAACCCCCCCCCCCATCGTCAACCCCCCCCCATCGTCTACCCCCCCCATCGTCAACCCCCCCCATCGTCACCCCCCCCCATCGTCTACCCCCCCCCCCCATTGTCTACCCCCCCCCATTGTCTACCCCCCCCCCATCGTCTACCCCCCCCATCGTCTACCCCCCCCCCATCGTCCACCCCCCCCCATCGTCTACCCCCCCATCGAATGTCCTCGAAATCCGTTCCTTGACTGCCACTCAGTCTTGAGCCTTCGACCACCATCGCCTTCACGTGTCCTGGGCCTCAAGCCAGCTCAGTATTCTTGACTATTTAATGTTTATGTCTGCGTATGTTCAATGATTCACGTGTTCCTCTTTCTGCCTCAATGGAATTGCAAATATTCCGTTGGTTTTTGTAGTGCGTCGATATATATGCAGATGCATCCCAAGACGCAGGACAAAAAATAGTCTTTGAACGTGCACATCTCATAGAGGGCAATATAATCTCATAGAGGAGAAGAGATAGTAGTACGCAGAAGAGGGATGGATGTCTTTAGTTTGGATATGAACGGGGGCAGGGAAGTCGATCAACACGGATTGCTGAGTGGAAGGTCACGTAGGTAAAAAATTAAAATAAATAATAGTAATAGAAATAAAATAATAATAAATGGAACTAAATCAATTAAATAGATTTATTTTCATTTATTATTATTTTATTTCTATTATTATTTTTCTTTTTTGCCTACGTGATTTTACCGAAAAAACCTAAGAGTATGAATCCTTGCAGTCACGAAAGCTTCAAATCTAGAATGGAAGGATTTCCATTTTTCGGGGACAGCAGCGATTAGTTTAAGGGGCCGTCCATAAATGACGTCACGCACCTCGGGGGGGGGGGGGGGGGTTGAGAAATGTGACGTCGCATCAAAATGCGCAACTTGAAATAAATATAGACAACACGTTCTAATTAATTAAATAGACTTTTTAATAAATGTTTTCTCCTACAACAGAGTGCAGCGCCAAATTAAATACGCACTACAATGACAATAGTTTAAAGCGATTTGAAGCCTGTTTTATTTTGGGGGGGGCAGAGCTTTGTGACGTCATATTTGAGGGGGGGGTCTGACTTTTTGTGACGGCGTGTGACGAAGGGGGGGGGGGTCAAAAATCGTCCAAAATAGCGTGACGTCATTTATGGATGGCCCCTAACGTAGGCTCTCGCGCCCAATATCCATAATATAGGTTTTTTGGGGGAGTTAAATCGCGTAAATATAAATGTGTCGTTAAACCCTTCACCACCCGACATAGCCAATTAGTTTAAACATGCCATGTTTACGTGACAAACTTTAGTAGTAGGCTGTGTCGGGTGGTGGCGGGTTTAACGACACATTTATATTTACGCAATCTAACTCAAAAAAACGATTGTGGAGCAGCGATTATCACGGTTGGCTACGTACGGTGCGAGAGAAGTTTAACATACACACAAAGGAGCGACCTATCGAGAAGAAGTTTAGTGGAGGTTTCTCCCCCCCCCCCCCCCACTGATGAGGTGTAAACAGTTGGGGTGGAGAACGCAGATCTTGTGTAGGTTTGAGCGTTTTCACATTTTGCAGTAAGTCTGACAGTAACTGTGCTTCTCACTCGCAGGCATGCGGGATCATTGTGGAGCTTATCCGGAGCAAGAAGATGGCAGGACGAGCCGTGTTGCTCGCAGGGCCTCCCGGCACAGGCAAGGTAATGATGAGTGGGTTTTTGTTTATCTTCACGAGCATTACAGCGTATGAATACGGAATTTGTACAGAATATGAACGTGGAAGATTGGCAAATGCGTAAGGGCGCGGACCGTAACGGTTCAGGAAGACTGGCACTTGAGAAGTATCGCCTTACTGCAGTGGTAAAAATAATTAGAAGTGCTATGGTTCGTCAAACGTAATGGATCTGCACGATCATCAACCTTGTTGTTTCCGGGTGTTTGCAGACCGCGCTGGCGCTCGCCATAGCTCAGGAGCTGGGCAGCAAGGTGCCCTTCTGTCCAATGGTGGGCAGCGAAGTTTACTCTACCGAGATCAAGAAGACAGAGGTGCTCATGGAGAACTTCAGGCGCGCCATTGGTACGACAATTCCTCAAGTCCCTACACTGGGCAGCATCCCTCAGCATTATTGAGCCGTAACTAAGCGACTCGTGTGGCCTGGACCTCTTTCTGCTTGCCTAAAGCACATTGACTTGGAAATCTGGAGAATGTAGAGTGTACAGGGCGGTCCAGATGTCTTGTAACCCCCATTTAATTGACCCCTATTTTTTTATCTTTGCACATTAATTTCTGTTTAAGTAAACCTTGCTTTCAAATTATATTATGATGAATGTACACACTTTTCCTGTCCTCTCAGGGTTAAGGATCAAGGAGACGAAGGAGGTCTACGAGGGGGAGGTGATGGAGCTGAGCCCGTGTGAGACAGAAAACCCAATGGGTGGCTACGGCAAAACCATCAGCCACGTGATCATCAGCCTCAAGACGGCCAAGGGCACCAAGCAACTCAAGGTAACATTGATGATGAAACACCGAAGGGATTCATTTTTTCTACCCAGCGTGTTCAGTGCACAGGATCTATGATGGGCATCAACCCTCAGTTATGATGATGATACTAGATGTGTTTTTTTTACAAGAATGTAGGGGCCAGCTAAGTGATGTCATTGGCTCTAGCTGATTAGCCACTCGGTCTTGGATGGTTGGACGTGTAGTTATATGGTGCTTGTACCTCCCTGTGAATGGCCAGCAGTACGGTACTTTTAAAATGTGAGTTACTCAAATGTTGCTAGTTTGCCACATGTATAACATTAGCAGCATCTGTCTTGACAGGCTATGGTTTACTTGTCACAAAGGTGCTCTCGGCATTAGTGGGAATAAATAAGGTTTGAGAAAAAATGTATTGTAAATAGATGCGGCTACAGGACAACAGTGGCTGTGATATCGTTGTGACTTGGCAAACATCACTGCCGATACCACGGCTGATCATCCCTTGTGTGCGTCGGCATGTAGCTGGACCCGTCCATCTATGAGAGCCTGCAGAAAGAGAAGGTGGAGGTTGGTGACGTCATCTACATTGAAGCCAACAGTGGAGCTGTCAAGGTATGCCCCAGGCCAACGTGTACAGCCTCTCGTGAAAGTTTTGAGTTTATCAGCTCTCTGAAGTTAAGAGAGGCTCTGCTTGGTCCTGGCTTGGGTGGAAAGATACCCAAGTCTTGATAATTGTTTTTTTACCCTTTTATCTGGCAACAAAACTGACACCTTTTTTACAAGGAGTCATGTTTGCATAGACCACAATACCTGCAGTCATAATGCAAACAAAAACATAACTCTGATAATGTATACACTGTCCTTGAAGTTGATTGGTCCACACCCGAGACAGCTTTCCTTAGAGCCTAGTCTCACATGGTGTTGGACCAGATGACGCCAAAAGGCGCACAACTCAAAGACAATGCACCATCAGAGTATGAGAGCTCGGGGTAAGCATTTACACCATTGGAACCTCATTTGCCAGTAAAAAATATGATTATTGGTTTTTTACCCTTTTATCTGCCAACAAAACCGACACCTTTTTTTTTTTACAAGGAGTCATTGTTTGCATAGACCACAATACCTTGTAAAAAAAGGTGTCAGTTTTGTTGCCAGATAAAAGGGTAAAAAACCAATAATCATATTTTTTACTGGCAAATGAGGTTCCAATGATACCCAAGTCTTCTTTACATCCAGCAGTGGATCGTGAACGTGCATTCTGAAGTCAAAGCTTGAGCTCATCAGCTCCTTGAAGCTAAGCGGGGATGAGCCTGGTTGCTGCTTGGGTGCACAAGCACCTAGGTATGTCTCCCTTTACAAAAGCTCTCATGAGTCTGGATGAATCTGGATTTGAAGTTTTCGTGACTGCAGGAATCCATACTCTTTGGTTCTTTCGGTAAGGTCACGTAGGATGAACTCTATTTAGGCATCACCATAATGTGTTACATGGTATTCCACTTGAAATATGGGGCATTGTTTGTCCATTATGTATGTATGTTGAACTTCTTTCGCATGGTACATAGTCAACCATGCTAATCGGCGGAACTAAATACGAAAAGCAGTTCTAAAGAAATTAGTTTTCGATTTAGATTAAAAAGTGCATTGCTCCAGTGGCTTCCTATTATCAGAAGGAAATTGCTCGGTGCTAACACGGAGCCATTGTTCGAAAATTCACAAGAGAGGTGATTGCCGCAGCGAAATTGGGGATACAATTTGTAATAAAGGACTCTCTCTCAGGTGTTGATCTCCGTTGTCCTTTATTGGATTCGTAGAATCTCCGTACCACGGCGTCTCGCTCAGGCCCTCGTCCCGCTCGACGACTTCTCCACAGCCCTCGGCTGCTCCGTTGTGCAGTCTCCCTGCTGCTCCAATATGCAGTCTCCCTGCTGCCCGTCAGGCAATCCTTGCAGCCACACTGCTGCCCCTTTCACAGCTAGCCTCTCACTGCCCCGTTAGCTCTCTTCGTCTGACACCGATGGCTGTCGGTGTCGACGTCTCCCACCGCGTGGCGACCGCGCCACACTCTCCGTCTTGCCCAGCGTGGCCTCCTCGTGTTTCACTCCGTCTCAACTCTCCCTTCCCCTTCCGGTTCTCTCCCTAAATCCTCTCCCCCACGTGACCCTAACTCCACCCACTCCCCACGTGACCCAGACTCCGCCCCCCCTCAATCCTTGCTCGCATTACAAATTTGATGATTAAACTAATGAAACAGAGAATAAACCAGTGGTGTGAGTGGCGGGTGGGGCAGCTTTCTCATGCCCCACGCTTTGCTCGTGCAGAGGCAGGGCCGCTGCGACACGTTCGCCACGGAGTTCGACCTGGAGGCCGAGGAGTACGTGCCGCTGCCCAAAGGCGACGTCCACAAGAAGAAGGAGGTCATCCAGGATGTGACCTTGCACGACCTGGACGTGGCTAACGCACGCCCGCAGGTACGGATGTACACGGGGTCACAACACTTGATAGGAACGTGCGCGCAGCACACAACGCCGATGTTTTTACACGCTTTTATTTAACTCGCTCTGTCTGTTGTTGTCGTATCCTCTAAGCTTGTAACTCAATTTTAACCCACTTCCCAATGTGGTATCGACTGCAAACTTGGTATACTTATGTCATACTGATGACAATACCATATTCTATCATAAAAAAACCTTTTAAACTATCTTTTTACACGCTTTCTATGAAGTCGCTCTGTCTGTTGTCGTATCCTCAAATCTTATAACTAAATTTTAACCCACTTCCCAATGTGGTATTGACTGCAAACTTTGGTATACGTATGTGATACTGATGACAATACTATATTCTTTTAAAGAATACATTTTTAAACATTCATTTTTATATGTTATGTTTCGGCTTGGCTCTAATTGTCCACGCTCAACTAACGTTGGCTGTAAATAACCACAGTCCCTTACGTTATGGCAAGATTTGCGGCCACTTCCTGGAGTCGTGGAGTTCTGCCATTACGAGTAGGGTACATTTCATTAAAGCGTGTTTTTAAAAAAGTATTTTTAAATATTACCTATTGGATAGTAGCATGCAGCAGCAGAGGAATACATACAACAACAGCAGTTTCAATGTATATCGCAGTGTTCTTCATTGCAAGGCCTTTAGTGTGGCCTCTGACATGCGGCCCTGACAATAAACAAATGTGAAAACACCCCATCGTGCTGTCAAACCCACTGGCTTTGTCTTATGGGCGAAAGTGGCTTCCCACTGAAAATTAGTGAAGAACGCTGCTATATACCAATGTTTATATCATCTAAATGCAATCACACCTCAAGATGCTATACAGAAATGTAAAAAAACTATATTAAAGTGCAGTTTCCAACTCTTATCTTTCTAGCCTCTCTACATGCTTTCAAGAAGAGCCATTGCCCGAGATGTCGCCTATGATATATTTTTTCCTCTGAAGACCACAGTGTTTTTGACAAACGTTTTGAGTTTTTTTGATGAATGAAGGTGGGTGGGTGGGTGGGAGACGGTGATCTGTTCACCCCCTCTCTCCCCCAACCCATGCTGACCAGCGTGGTGAAGAAACGTTAAAACAATCCCCATGACCAACTTGGCGCAGAAAGACCTTGTACAGCAGTTGATTGACATATCGTTAATTGTTTTTTTTTATATATAGAATGTCATGTCTCTGAGACCATTTTTTACCTTTTCTGGCAATAATAGAAGTATTAAGATGTTAAAACTCCCAATAAAACACTTATTGCAAGGCATCAGGTCAGCATTAAACACACGTGCTTGTGGTGAAACATGCAAACCAACATGGTCATTGTTTTTTTTTGGTAAAGTCACGTAGGTAAAAAAAATTAATAAATGAAAACAACTAAATTACATCACGACGTTTCGGGCGCAACACAAGCGTTCCTCTTCAGGTGGGGATATACCTAAGCGGTTGTGTTGCGCCCGAAACGTCGTGATTTAATTTAGTTTTCATTTATTTTAACTTTTTACCTCCGTGACTTGACCAAAAAAAACTAAGAGTATGAATCCTTGCAGTCACGAAAACTTCAAATCTAGAATGCTCATTATGTATGCATGGCCTTGTCTCACCAGTGTTAGACCAGAGAACGCCAAAAGGCGAACAGCACAAAGGCAATGGAAATATAAAACATGAATAGCTCTGGTTAAGCAAGTTGTACATGATTATGCGTGCATGTAATGTCAACAGGGTGGCCAGGATATCTTGTCCATGATGGGCCAGCTCATGAAGCCCAAGAAGACAGAAATCACAGGTGAGACGCAACACGCTTGGAATTTTCTGACTGCATGATGCTGAACTCTTCACGTGCAGCGTGTCTGGCCCTTTAGGTCTCAACCTCTACAAACGTATCAACCATTGGTGATCATCGCCACTCACTATCTTGCTTGCATCAGTGTGTTATGTGCAGCATAAACATTGTTTTTGGCCAAATGTTTGCATAGGAATGGGTAAATGTATAACAAAAGTTACCGTTATTTCAAGACTAAACGAGCCAGTTAAATGTAACGGTAATATTAAACTATTAAAGTATTTGTATTTTACCAGGTAAGGCCCACTGAGCTTTAGAAGCGACCTGGCCACAAACGATAGGTCAACGAAGTGGCTTATGTGTCAATTTATTGCAGCCAAACACTCTAAATGCATTTTTCTAAATGTGGAGGGAAAAACCAGAGGACCCTAAAGAAAAACCCACGTGACCACGGGGAGAACGTGCAAACTCTAAATAAACAAGTATCAGGGTTGAGATCGAACCGACGACCCCCTGTATACCAGGCGGGGTAGTGAACACCTCGCCACTGCGGGGCCCCGATTTTGTCACACCTGTTTGTGCATACGAGAAGGACTTTGTTATAACTTTAGTTTTTACCAACTACCCAGTAAACGTAGAACGTTGGGCCAATCACATAACAAAAGCATAATACGCAGACATTTCAATTCCAAGGCAGCATTTGTTAATGTTAATGGCTCCTAAGTATTGGCATGTTATGATTCTGCTGTACTTGCTAACACAGTCCTTGAAGTTTTATTTGAAGATCGGCAGATACAGACAGACAGTTGGAAGGGATGGCATGCTGAGATATACATCAGCTAAATAAATGAACTGATATCTACATTGACTAGATTGTTTCATACGTGCAGCAGGTGGATGGCTGATGGTACAGATCTATTGTGCGATTGTAGCAAGATAATGGAGGTAATAAAGATAATAGGCCATTTATACATGGGACAAGCAGAGTGGATAACAGTCAAGTGTGTGGCTCCATTGCACGATCACAGCTGCGTGCGTGCGTGGATCATATCATCACTGCGCAGTAGCGTCATGATTAGCGCATTACTATGCTACGATCCTGGCGACGTGATTTTGATTTCCAGCCATTGTAAACAGCAGCAATTATCTAAACCCACCCTGGGCCTCCCCTAGGTGGACTTGGCCTTAAACTTGTAGCTGCTGCAAACTTCAGCGGGGAGGGGGAGAAAAAGATGTGGTTCTGGGCTGCACTAGCCCAGCCTTCATCAATGCTCGTTAACAGCACTTGTCCCAACAGTTCTTCTTCCGCACCTCCGATTAGCACAGTTGGCTACGTACGGTGCGAAAGAAGTTCCACATACATACATTTTTAACTAGTTACGATTTTTTATTTTACCAGGTAAGGCTGACTGAGCTATATTATAGCTCTTTTTCATAAGCGACCTGGCCACAAACGATAGGTCAACGAAGTGGCTTACGTGGAAATGTATCGCAGCCAAATACTCGAAATGCACTTTTCTAATGTGGAGTGGAAAACCAGAGGACCTAAAGAAAAACCCAAGTGACCACGGGGAGAGAGAATATGCACACTCTAAATATACAGGCGTCAGGGTCAGGATCGAACCCGTGACCTCTTGCATACCAGGCGAGAGAGTTAACATCTCGCCCATGCGGTGCCCATACATACAGTCTGTAAGGGATCTTTGTTTTGCATGCATTAATTTTTTCAGACAAGCTCCGCGGGGAGATCAACAAGGTGGTAAACAAGTACATCGACCAGGGTGTGGCGGAGCTGGTGCCAGGCGTGCTGTTTGTAGACGAAGTGCACATGCTGGACATTGAATGCTTCACCTACCTTCACCGCGCGCTCGAGTCCTCCATCGCGCCCATCGTCATCTTCGCCACCAACCGGGGCAGGTGCATCATCCGGTAAGGCCGCATTTGCTGGATTGCTGGCGAGAAAAGAAGGTAGTCCGATGTGTGTTTCTAGCCGAAAATAACTTGTTGATCTCTCGCGCATATGACTGTTGTGTAGAGCAACTTGTAAGTTTACGTCCTGGTTAGTTAGCCAGGAAATGGCTTCAGTTGATTTGGGGTGGATTGCTACCACACATAAATAACATCTGCTGGACATTTCATGGAAAGATAGGGTAGTCAACTTGGCAGTTAATAACAAAACTGGGAAAGAAAGTATTTGAAGATGTGATAGGGAGAAAAAGGAGGTTGTGATGGGTGGAACACTTGTGCAGGATGGAGGAGGGCAGGTAACCGAAACAGTCATTGGAGTGACAACTAGGGGTGGGCGACCTAAGGGGAAGACCTGAAGTTAGAGAAGAAATTCAATAATGTAAGAGAGGACCTTTAAGATCGGTGTTGACTATAACAATTACGCATCAATCATGGTAAGGATGGTGAGGTGTGTTGGCATTGGTGGTGTTGACTGATGACCTGTTGAAATTCGCTTTTGATGGAAACGAGACAATGGAAATGCAACAACACCAAAGAGATGGTAATTTAATGATGCACTCACACAATGAAAGTCAGAAGGACAGACGTGAGTAACACCACGGTGTGGTAGCATCAACAGCATTGGCCTTTGATGACCTCTAGACCTCGGCAGCGAGAACGTTTGAACGTTGCGTGCTTTTGGCGGCGGTGGTGGTGACGTGAGGGACGCACTCGTGTGCCCCCACCCCCAGGGGCACGGAGGACGTGCTGTCGCCACACGGGATCCCGCTGGACTTGCTGGACCGCGTGATGATTGTGCGCACCATGCTGTACACGCCCGACGAGATGGTGCAGGTGAGTGACCTCGGCCTCTCGAAGACCAACGCACACTGCAATGTGTGAACATCGCCACTCGGGAGACAAAGGCGGCCTATGAAGGCCGTGCCGGCCTTCTTAGGTGGTCGCTAACAGCACTTGTCCCCAAAAGTATATTAAGGCTATACAGGGGGTCTTTGTCTGTATGGTTTGTGTGTCTGTGTACGTGTATGTATGGAAGTGATGACGTCTCCGTATGAAACCCGTTGCTCCTCTACGGAGACACCGTGGTGTAGGAGTATAGAAATACAAGTCATATGTATACATATACATGGCATATTTACATACTCGCATACACATACAAACACATGTAAATGTACAGGCATTTTGTCATTACACCGCTAGATTAGGTTCTCCCCACTCCGTGCAGGTCATGGGGGTTGTTTGATCATACTTCCCCACACTGGTCAGTGTAAATTGGTGGAGGCGTGGAGCATTAGAAGTACACAGAGTGACGTTGCTGCACTGCTGCTCAACCACACAGCCCCACGGCAGCCTGTTTGTGCACAGCGGTCTCCCGTCCAAGCACCGTCCAGGCTCAACCCCGCTTAGCTTCCGAGGTCTGATGAGAGTGGGTGCACTAGGGGTGATTTTGGCCACCGTCCCAGCATTAAAATCCCCATTGGCTGCGCTCGTGCGTTCCAGATCATCAAGATCCGGGCTCACACGGAGAGCATCCGGCTGAGTGACGAGGCTGTGGTGCACCTCGGGGAGATCGGCAACAAGTCAACTCTGCGGTGAGTCCCGCGGCATGTCGGCATGCACGTGTCTACTGTATGTTGAACTTTTTTTGCCTCGTACGTAGTCAACCGCGCTAGTATATATGCATTTAGGCTTAGGGTTATTTATATATATAAAAAATGTACGCACGCTGTTTTTAGTCCAGCGTCTTGGGATGCATTCGCATTTAGATGCTGCATAAATCCAAATTGTTTGTCTATGAAGCGTAGGGGTGCACCGATTGGCACATTTTTGCTCTCTTGCCAAACGGTGAATACCTCGGGTACGCAGCCAGATCTGAAATCGGAAATCAGTAAGTATTTTTAAAATATATATTTCGTAAAGTACGATAGAAGAGATACTACTATGAGCGTGAGTAATAAACAAATGCGGTGAGACGAGGCAAGGCGAGGGAAACGTGCAGTAGGACGAAAACTAGGAAGTCAAGGTAAGCAAAGAGAGATGCAAGTGACTGGAATTTGCCACCGTTTGTACATCTCTGATCGAATCTCCAAGCAAAAACGGGGCTCCATGAATAGAGCGGATTCTTGACATCCGCCGTGGCCCTCCAACCACTTGCATCAATCGAGCGCAACATTGCCGCTCTTGAAATCTCGCCTCACCGTGGAAGGTGGCCGTGCGGGTGAAGGCGTCTTGATCAATCGGACACCAATGTAAACTGTAAACTATTTTTATTTACCAGCAAAGGCCCACTGAGATATGTAGCGCTTTTTCAGAAGCGATCAGGCCGCAAATGATAGCTCAGCAAAAAGTGGCTTATCTTGTGGAAATTTATAGCAGCTAAATGCTCTAAAGTCCAGGGGTGGGGAACATCCGGCCCGCGGGCCGTATAAGGCCCGCGGAAACATTTGGTCTGGCCCTGCCAAGTCAACCGCTCGACTCGAAATTCAATAAATCTAGGAGCTTTTTTCATCGCAACATACATTTAATTTCGCATGGCCCGCGAATGATGTTCAGTTCAGTTTCATTTATTAGGTATAACCCTTGAGAGCCATGCGGCTCTTGACTCAGGTGCAACCGCAACAAAATAAAAACATGAACAAGAAACATCTTAAAGTGACTACACGCAACAACAAAAATCCTGTTATAAATATCAAATTTCCCTTGGCAGAAAAAAGGTTCCCCACCCCTGCTCTAAACGCACGTCGATTCTAAATGTTGAGGGAAAAACCGGAGGACCCGAAGAAAAATCCACACGACCACAGGGAGAACACGCAAACTCCAAATATGCAACAGGCGTCAGGGTTCAGGATCGAACCCACGACCTCCTGTAGACCAGCCGAGGTGGTTAATATCACGCCACCACGGCGCTGCTGCCCCAGCAGTTTGGTGTCGCTCGTAGCAAACCATGGAAGTCGTGGGGCCAGCATCCCTAATCAGTTTTGGTGGGGGGGAGGGCGGGGGGGGAGGTCATCTGTAATTACCTTTGTGGTGATGAGCTCAAAGAAAGGGCTGCACCAGGGGGAGAGACTGTCCACAACTCGCGGAGGTCAGGACGCCAGTGGCTTTCGCGTGACCCGCAAGGCCAGGAACGGCGCAATTTTCTAAATTAATTTCACGTGCATTGTGAAGATTTCATTTAATGATTAATACGTTCTCCCTCGCAGGGTTGTTTTCTTTTAAATAAGATTAATTTACGTTGATTATTATTGGGCCCAGAATAGTTACAGTGCTGGGGAGACGTCCGTGAACGTAGTAGGACTTATCTCAAGGAATTGTACACAAACAAGATTTTCTTTATATATATCTGTGATTAATTATCTAAATTGCTTTCTTTAAAAAAAAACTATAATTGGAGAGCTATCTAAAAGTAGCGTCCTTCAGTTGGTAAAAACAATGTTTCCATTACATCTTGGTCGTGAAAGTGCAAGAAGGCAGCTTAATTAAAAAAGACCACAGCGTTAAACTATAAATAGAAATGCTATGCGTGTCTCCCACCAGTTTTATCCGTGATTAAGTGAACCAGGTCAGCTTAACTTACGCAGGAGTCTTTTTATTTTAACATTGCACTACCGTACACAAAGACCAAGATTCCCCGTATAGCCTTCGCAGAGTGTTGGGGCGAGTGCTGTTAGCCAACGCCTATGAAGGCCGGCACGAGGGGTGGGTGGCCAGTACCATACCCAGTCGCCTTTGTTTTCCTAGTGGCGATATTTACACACCGCACCAGGTACTCATTTGAGGCTGAGTCGAACGAGGGGAGGCCCAGGACCGGTTTAAATAGTCGTCACTATGGTTGGCCATGAGCAGGAAGCAAACTGGTCAGTGTCATGCCATTACGAACGGTCCATTGAGATATTTCGCAGAATCGGTGCAATCCTTCGTGTTGGAGAGCAACTCATGGAAGCAGATATCGGAGAACTACTTCTGAGATCCCTCCACGTAACCTCTGCTCTACACAGTAGAATGGCAGCACTTCCTACCCTTCCTGCTGTGCAGAGAAATTTCTGTTTTACGACGGTCAAACCAATATTTTTAATTCTCACGAACTGAAATGTCAATATAAGTGCAGAAGCAAGGTTTTACGTGATGGGATTGTTTTTTTTGTCTGTTTATTGCTGACCGGGCCGAGACCATCACCTCACTGCGCTTGAGCACCCGGTTTAATCACAACAGTCGCACCATCAGGGTCTCAACGGCTTAGTCGGCGTCCTGATGGCCGACCCGCCCGGTCACCTCCTTATGCGCGTTCCGATGTTTTGCTTTTCTCTTTCGTCGTTTTCCCCTGCTGGAGCAGATACGCGATGCAGCTGCTCACTCCGGCGAATCTGCTGGCCAAGATCCACGGCAAGGACACGATCGAGCGCGAGCACATCCAGGAGATCAGCGAGCTCTTCTACGACGCCAAGTCCTCCGCAAAGATCCTCGCTGACCAGGCTCACCGCTACATGAAGTAGCCGCAGCCTAAGTGGTTGGGGGTATAAATATGCCACACACACGTATGAGGTAGAAGCCTTCTTCATAATAAACGTTTTTGGGTTAGATCGCGTTATTTATAAATGTGTCGTAACCCTCCACCCGCCAATCGGTAAAAAAAAAGTGTCACGTTGACAAAAGGCAAATAGTTCACTACTTTAGCCCACCGGTGTGTTGAACACTTTCTCTTGTCAACGTGACACTTTTTTTACTGATTGGCCGTGTCGGGTGGTGGAGGGTTACGACACATTTATAAATAACGCGATCTAACCCAAAAACGTTAATTATGAATAATATTGGTCGCGAAAGCCTACGTGTTAAAGAAGCCTTCTGAATACTGAAATCTCATGGGGCCCGCTCCCTACGTTCTGATGAACTGGTCGAGTGGTCTGTTGAGGTTCTTCCATAAGGGAGTGAGCCTGTGAGTGGCTGAATGCAATAGGAGGTCTTGGTGTGGAACACAAGGGTTGGTCTGCGATGTAAGTCGACTGTTCAACACTGCAGGCACGCGGCACGCAACATTGAGGTGGTTACAGTAAGGTTTCTACTACATATTGTAGAGTTATATAAGAATTATTACTGTAATAACTATTACCACATAGGGTCAGAAAAATTAATTGTCAACATTTTGATTGAATTCATGAAACTTTTAATGCAATTACACATTGCTCCCTGTTCGACTTTGCCTAAAAGTGATGGATATGCCTGGCGCCCCCTTAAATAATTTTCTGTTTTGAGTGTAAACTTTTTGCTTGGGCCTCGAACACCTTTAAAACTTTATTTTAAAGAAAATCTACTCGCACGCATGTTGCAGATCGCGAGGTCGTCTTGGGGGTTTACGTCCACCGAGGAGACAGAGGCGATGAGATTGGTTCACGTGCTGCGTGGATTGTCGCATCGCTGGATCACGAGAGGTTGGAGTGATCCTGGCTGATGATGAGAATGCTAATGCCTTGGATGTGCACATCTCCATGAGTTCTTATTTAAAATCTCCTTACATGAGTTGTTGCAAGGCGGAACTATTTATTTAAATAGTTTATTACATAGTAACAGGGATGGAGCAGATTTTGTTTTTATACCCTTCCTAATGTCTATAAATACATCAACCTGAATGCATGTAATTTTCAGACGCTAAGCAGGAATGATCTTGGCTAGAAATTTGACAAGAGAACTGCCTGGGAATACCAGGTGTTGTAGGCTTGGCTTGCGAGATGGCTGAATGATAACTACAGCAATAGATTCTTAAATACGTCTGTGTGGGGCTTTGAACGTTACCCCCTCATTCATATGCATGGGTTTTATTTATTTAGTCCGGTTTCCTCCCACGTGCCAGACACCCACTAATTACGATAATTATCCAAACATGCCTAATAGAGAGTGGTACTTAACAAACCAGTGTCTCGCGGCAAAGACCAAGGTGTGCTACGCTAGTTTTGGAAGTACAGAAGGGAAAGAACCTCAGCTCGCAGACTAGTGCAGAAGAATTCTCCTCTCGTGCCATTCAGTGGTCGATCAGACCCCTGTCTCCCTTCCTGCCCTTTCTATTGGCCGTGCGTGCACAGAACGACAGCTGCAGTGCATTTCTACCCACCGGCCCGGGGCCCACGGCGATTTATTGGGATGCCACGGTGGTGAGATGTTCACTACCTCGCCTGGTATACAGGAGGTCGTGGGTTCGATCCCGACGCCTGTATATTTGGAGCTTGCGCGTTCTCTCTTTCCCTGTGGTCGCGTGGGTTTTTCTGCAGTTCCTCCGGTTTTTCCCTCCACATTTAGAAGCATGCGTTTTGGTTAATTGGCTGCTACAAATGTGCACGTGATAAGCCACTTTGTTGAGCTATCATTTGTGGCCAGGTCGTTTCTGAAAAAAAAGCTATACAGTTCAGTGGGCCTTACCTGGTACAATAAAAAAAATGTTTAGTTTTGGTTCGGAGCACCGCGAAGAACCGAGCAAGCTCGAAAGTGTGCCATGGAATAAATAAAATGATGAGGAGCGCTGCGATATAGTCCTGAGACTCGGTGAGGATTTCCTGGGTGAATAAAGGGCAATGCTACCAGTTGCAATTATTATAATCCCGTGAAGCACACCACGTGCTAAACTCTACATTCAGCTGTATTTGGCAAGACCACACACACACACACACGTTTCTCGCTCGCTGATCTGAGCCAATGTGCCTTTAATCCAGCTCGAGGAGGAGCCAGTCTGCTCCACCACCTGCATATCGTTTAATCTCTGCCCACTGCTTTAATTGACGGTGATTGATGCACGCATTCCTACGTTCATTTTATACAGTAGACGGATGATGCCTACTTATAGAAAGCTCAACAATATTGACAAGTGGCAAAAAAAAAGTTAACTCTTAAACTTGTGTTCGTGCTGTCAGCATTGTGTGTCTGCAAGAAATGGAGATGTAGGTCCAATGCATGTTAACGAAGGAGAGCCCTCTGTTTATAAACACTGCGAACAAATGGTGACTCCTCACTGATACACAAGCCACAGATTTCACCTTGCACCTGTTTCATGTCGTGTAACGAATGTGCTTTTGATATTTTATAACGTGTGTTGTTTGTTTAAGGTGCATAAAATAAAGGGGTTTTCTTCCTCGGCCGAATGGAATTCTTAAGAGAGTCTCTGGTACGTTTTACCATCCTCCCCCCGAAATCTCTTCCCCGTGTCTCGATTGATAACTCTTCAGGTGAGTGCGTCGCGAGACGGGCGGTCGTGGATTTCAGCGCCCGTAGCCTTCAAACCCAATTCGGCTCTGTCACGTGACCTGTCATTTCTAAATACAATTGTACGCTATAATACTAGGGTTTTTCCCCTTTTTCTGGCAACAAAACTGAAACCTTTTTACGAGGATTCATGTCTGCATTAACCACAATATTTGTGTGTCTGCATTAACCACAATACTTTTGGTGTCCTCTGGTCGAGCACCAATTGGGTCGAGGCTCAAAAGAAAGCCGTCCCTTGGTGTGGATCAATCAGTTTCAAGGACAATGCATATATTATCATAGTATGTTTTTTGTTTGCATTTTGACTCAAGTATTGTGGTTAATGCAGACATGAATCCTTGTAAAAAGGTTTCAGTTTTGTTGCCAGAAAAAGGGAAAAATTCTATTATATTTTGGTACTGGCAAAGGAGGTCTAACAATTGTACGCTTCTGGCCAAATGACTTTCACAGGGGGGGATGGGTTTGGGCGCACGGACAAACCGAGCTGGAAATAGCGAGGACCGCAAAGTTCACTCACAAACTCGGAAACTCGGCGGTGGTTGAACTATGCCGAAGGTGATGGCTGAATGGCTTTTGAAGAGGCACGGGCAAGAGATTGGATGTGCAATGTGTGGATGGGATGAGTGTGTAATATTATTCAGCACGGCGATAAAGGAACGGTGCCGAGACTGCCAACTCTAATTCAGACAATACTACTGAGACACGCTTGTTGTTTTAAATGTTCGGCAAACAAACGTTCATAGGACCCACACTAAGGATGCCATGAAGCTCCCTTGTAAAGGGAATCAAATGGGGTTTTTGTAGGACAGCGTTGCAGGCCGCCACCACCACTAAATCCCAACAGGAATGGACACACTGGCGATAGATACCAGGGCACGTTCTGTAGATTCACCACTGCCAATTCCAACCCCTATCTGTAATGGGGATTTTAAACACCTCGCAACTTTATAATGCTGATAACATTAGCGCGCAAAATCAGTCTGTGAGGGAACACTTGCCAAACCCCCCCCCCCTCCACTATCTTCCCCAAACCTGAATAAAATATGCACGCTATCTCATCGCAAGCATCTTCGAAATGTAACCACACCGCTGATGTGAATAAAAAACACAACGGGCCCCCCAAAAGCGCGTTTGCATTATGCATCGTGCATGCGGCGAGCGGCATACGTGTACCCACGCACACAATTTTAAACGTCATCCCTTTGTATTCTTTGGGTCTTTCCCTTTGCTAAACAGGTTACCTACTTCCACATCATCGGCCAACTTTGTCCGACACCTATGCATTATCCTGTCGGCCAGCTTTCGCCCCCCCCCTCCCCCCCCCCCAAATTAACGCATGCAGCAAAATAAATTGCCTGCCAGCCAAGCCTGCCACCAGATAAAGCCGCTCCTTTTGTTCCCGGCTTTTATTTATTTTTTCTCTTCCCCCCCCCCCCCTTCGGTTCTACCCGGCTCCAGGCATCTTGATTTATGGCCTCGGCTTGCGCACGCGAATTTGGGGGGGGGGGGGGTGGGGAGACCTTGGCTGGAGATAAGGCGAGCGAAAGGCAGAAAACGCGACTTAAATAAATTCGCGAATTCTCATCGCTGCCGGTCCTCTGCGGTGGTTTATCCTTGCTGCTCCGCTAAGTGCAGAACCCTAATTCATCTTCGCGTGTAAGGCCCCTTTTTACGTCTCTGTCCACTGCTGGATGAGGGCCGTTACAGGCAGTCCTCGACTTAGGAACACCCGCGTTTAGGAACCAGCTTCCATGATGTATTAGGGTTTTTTTTTTATCCTTTATATTAAGTTCGCTTGCTTGCTTGCGTGCTTGCTTGCTTACGACCGTGCAAACCTTTCGGTCGTTTTTTAACCCACTTCCCGTATTCCAATCGAGCTGACATTTTGCACACAGACTCGTTGTGCGAGACAATTAATGTTAGTGAAAATTTTTTTCCAAAATTTTACACTGTTTAGGAAAAACAAATTAAATATTAAATTTTCAATTGTTTAACACTGGCAGACAATCATCTGACCCATAGGTGGCAGCCATCTCAAGCCAGAGGCCGAGAGGACTCGAGCCGCCACGCATATAAAGGATTTATAGTGAAAAACTTTGTTTTTACGGGTTTACTTGTTACATTCACTTAAAACGATAACTCTCACTCGCAAATTGAGCGGTAGCACTATTTTGTCCAGCTGAGCGATGTCAATGAGTCTGACTCGCGCTGGGAGTGTTTGTGTGCGTTGGCATTTAAATACAATTGTTGTGTTCCGACTTACGAACCGTTCGACTTACGAACGGGTCTCATGAACTAATTGTGTTCGTAAGTCTAGGATTGTTCGTATTTAACTTACCTACGAGGACATCTGTGAAAAAAATTAACCCGTTAAAACAAAGTTTTTCACTATAAATCCTTTATATGCGTGGCATCGGTTTTATTTTATTATTCATTTCTGTTTTTCTTGAGTAAGAGTTTCATTTTTATCACATTGGTATTTTAAGTTAAATATGAAAAAAAATTCCAAAAAAGTGGAAAATTTTGGGAAAAAAATTTCACGAAAATTAATTGTCACGCACAACGAGTCTGTGTAGAAAATATCAGCTCGATTGGATCATGGGAAGTGTGTTAAAAAACGACCGAAAGATTTGCACGGTCGTAAGCAAGCAAGCAAGCACGCAAGCAAGCAAGCTAACTTAATATAAAGGATTTAAAAAGAGCTTCATAGCTCATCGGATTTCCTCCAATCTAAATAAAGATGTTGATTCTGCTCGTACGTCGCTATACTTGTCAGTGTGGGTTTGCGAAGGTGAACATATGTGGAAACTTAGAAGCACAGGACAACAGATTTTGTTGCACCGCTCTCCTCTCTCCCCACCACGCAGCCCTATGGGTGGTGACCTGGCGTGCACGATCGTTAACCATCCAAGCACTATCACAGGCTCTAACCTGCTTAGCTTCCGAGATCTGATGAAACTTGGAACATTCGGCGTGATTTGATCGTAAGCACTTTACACCTTAGTTTATTTTTTTCACACAAAATACATGAACTTTATATATTTTTGACGGAGCCCATTGAGACTCAATCTTCTTATTTTGCAGAAATATAGGCAACAAATTAAGCTGGCAGAATAACGTCGAAAATAGGCACAAATTAGACATGCAAGCTGATGACCAAATCACCCGAAATGCACTTGTTCTGCATCGGATCTCTAAAGGTAAGCAGGTCTTGAGCCTGGCCAATGCTTGCACAGCAGGTTGACAAAGGCTGCAGTGGGGCTACGTGGTGTGTGGCAAGAGAACTGTGCAGCAACGTCATTCTTCTGTATTTGTATTCTCCCCACCTTCACCCGCCTACATTGTCCAGCATGGTGAAGTATGCCCAAATCACCGCTACGACTCGCACGGTGTGGGGAGGCACTCATCGAGCAGTGGATAAACACATGTACCATATGTGCAGCAAGAACAAATACATAAGACCCATGCATTGTGCATACATGGCAACGTTGCGGTTCCTGCCGACAAACCGATTGACAATCTGCAATATCAAGTTAGTGCTATAATAATTGGTTTTTTAACCTTCTATCTGGCAGCAAAACTGACACCTTTTTTACAAGGAGTCATGTTTGCATAGACCACAACACCTGCAGCCATAATGCAAACAAAAAACATAACTCTGATAATGTATGAACTGTCCATGAAGTTGATTGGTCCACACCCGAGACAGCTTTCCTTAGAGCCTAGTATCACATGGTGTTGGACCAGATGACGCCAAAAGGCGCACAACTCAAAGACAATGCACCATCAGAGTATGAGAGCTCTGGGTAAGCATTTACACCATTGGAACCTCATTTGCCAGTAAAAAATATGATAATTGGTTTTTTACCCTTCTATCTGGCAACAAAACTGACACCTTTTTTTACAAGGAGTCATGTTTGCATAGACCACAATACCTGCAGTCATAATGCAAACAAAAAACATAACTCTGATAATGTATGAACTGTCCTTGAAGTTAGTGCTAATTAAGCCTGTGGTTGTAAGTGAAGTCGCCTTTCTCGTCAATTCACCACCGACATTTATGATTGCTCCTCTGCTACCCTATCCAGTAAGGGTGTAGCGATGTATCGATCCATGGATTAAAATCAATTCTTATCGTGGGACCTCCTTTGCCAGTACCAAAATATGAGAATAGGTTTTCCCCTTTTTTCTGGCAACAAAACAGCTGTGTTAAGATGTTCAAACACCAAACTGAAACCTTTTACAAGGAATCATGTCTGCGTTAACCACAATACTTGTGGTCAGAATGCAGACACCTGTTTTGTTGTCAGAAAAAGGGGAAAACCCTATTCTCATCACGATCCATGCTTTAAATCAGGCGTGATAATTATTTTCGATTTGTGTGCCTTTAGTTGATGTGCTCTTTGCTGCCACTCTCAGATGTTAACATTTCCAATGTCATGTAAATTTTAAAAAATTCAAATCGAATTGTGACTCCCACTCAGTCCGCACCTCTGATTATCACGGTTGGCTACGTACCAGAGGTGGGACAAAGTCATTGTTATGCAAGTCCAAGTCGAGTCTGAAGTCATCAAATTCATGACTCGAGTCTGACTCGAGTCCAAGTCACATGACTCGAGTCCACACCTCAGAGGTGGGACAAAGTCATTGTTATGCAAGTCCAAGTCGAGTCTGAAGTCATCAAATTCATGACTCGAGTCTGACTCGAGTCCAAGTCACATGACTCGAGTCCACACCTCAGAGGTGGGACAAAGTCATTGTTATGCAAGTCCAAGTCGAGTCTGAAGTCATCAAATTCATGACTCGAGTCTGACTCGAGTCCAAGTCACATGACTCGAGTCCACACCTCAGAGGTGGGACAAAGTCATTGTTATGCAAGTCCAAGTCGAGTCTGAAGTCATCAAATTCATGACTCGAGTCTGACTCGAGTCCAAGTCACATGACTCGAGTCCACACCTCAGAGGTGGGACAAAGTCATTGTTATGCAAGTCCAAGTCGAGTCAGAAGTCATCAAATTCATGACTCGAGTCTGACTCGAGTCCAAGTCACATGACTCGAGTCCACACCTCTGCTACGTACGGTACCAAAGCAGTTTCAACATACATACTTGACAATTAATCGAATTGCAAGGGTCATTAATCATTACAGACCGATCAAGCCACATTGCACTATCAACAGATTTCAATTTAGAATTCCAATTTAAGCTGTGCGTGACCTTCACCTGACCCAGCGAATGTTAGGATTGTAGATCCCCGTTTTGGCTTGTTCAGAATGAAAGCATCTGTGGTTTCCGGAACCCTCTTTGTTGCATGCATCTCGTGCATCCCATCTTTTCACATCAATCACGTGGAATTGTAGGCGCCCATTCATATGTAAAATGCCCCCCCCCCCTCGCGCCGCACGAACACATCTGTTGATTTATGGTTGATTCTATCAGCGCGTGATGGACTTTTGACTGCAGATCGTATCACCTCGTCATCATTGTCAAGACAGCAGAGGTGAACTTTAATTGCCGCTCACTCAGTCAGTTGTTCGATATATTTATTTATTTGGTTTAAATCTCCCCCCCTCCCCTTTCCCAATTGTGCCATGGGTGTCATGTTGTCAGAAGACAAAAACTAATTTAATTTGTAACTCTTGGAGACACGAGCGAGCGCGTCACTCCGCATTAGGGAACACGATGTCACAGAACCAACGTAATTGTATAAAGTTCCTTCAATTAGCCTCTTATCCAGACGAGGTGATGTGTTTTTTTATATGACCTGCAAATGTTATTCATTGCCATGTCAAACTGATATAAAAAAATGTTTATCATGGACTGGCGCAAATGAGTTAAAAACCAAATGTAATACTATGTCATAGGGGTTTTGCATTTGTTATGTATAGCTCGATTGTGTTTTCAGGTTGCACCGTGTTTTTCGCCAAGTCCAACGTTTCACTCCACGTCCTTGGAGGTTCTTCAAGAGCCAAACTAAAATCGGTTCCCGAAGCTCCCAGGAACTGCATTTAGTTCCTAAAGAAGCTCCCAACATTTGGGAGCGAAGCGTCAGACATCACGCAGCACACGCGGTACGACCCAACACCACATCCACGGAACCGATTACGGTCGCGAGTTCGACCCCGACGCCGATTCTCCCCATGGTCACGTGGCCTTTTCTCCACATTTACAAAAATGCTCTCCATTTCCAACATGATGAGCCACTTTGTCGAGCCATCATTCGTGGCCGGATCGCTTCTGCAATAGAGCTTTGCAGCTCAGTGGGCCTTCCATGGTAAAGTAAAAAAATAAGTGTAAAGTTTAATGATGGGGCCAGGGATGGCTGGTGGTGGTGGGGGGGGGTTTAGAAATAATTAGTGACCAAGCACTTCAACTCACGACACTTGAGACTCAACTTAACCAGGGGTCATCTGGATTCAAATTCATCTCAGCAGTGCCAGCATTAGCCTCATAACCCTATTAGCCATCTCATGAATCACTTTGAATGGGACTTAAAAATAGCAAGGTTTGACCAACATATCTCAACCACCTGGATTATACAACTTGTGGGCAATCAGTTTGTTCAACATCAATAAAACACTGCCACGCGTTCTTTTGGACAAATAACACTGGCCAACAAAAAAAAAACTTTTTTCTGGCCTGGACTTGTGCAGCTGTTTAGACTAATTTCAGGGTGCTGATTCCGAATCTGATCTCAGATTTGCTCTATCTCATTTTTATGCTATCGGCATACCCAATTTTCATTGATTTTACCCGACATTAACTCTGTCACTTATGATTGCAAGTTGTTGCGAGTCAGCGACTGCTTTAGTGTTAAAATATGGTGCTGTATTTTTAGGATAGTGTTGATAATCATTTTATGTAGATATCCACATTTATTTAATATTTTCTTCTGCAGTTTTGATTGAAAATGCAATATTCGATCTCAAAAACCTGATGTGATAGACAAAAACTGATGCCAGATTTAAAATCAGCACCCCAAAATTACCTTAACTGTTGGAATACCTTATGCCAGAAAAGTGTGTTGACCAGTGTTATCTCCCGCATGTGTGATCAAGTCCTTGTCTTCAGCCATCCTTGATCCGAGGATTGGCCGCATCATGGGCAATCCTTCACCACCGTCTTCTACCATCCTCAGTGTTCCAACGCGAACCTTGTCCATGCTTTGATATCTATCCATGTCATCCTTGGTCATCCTTGTGCACGTGAACCGGCTATTTGGAATATAGCTCCACCACTTCGGACCGCTCTATTTGTGTTACCTGTACCAGTGATGACTCCGTGCCATGCCACTCATTTTAAACAAAGCCCACACACATCGTCATAATTATCCACTTCCAATCTCCTGCTGGATGTATACCTGGCCAAGCCATCGCCACGCCACACGTGTTAGCAATGCGGCAATTACATTCAACAATGAAGGGAATTTAATGAGTTTTATTTGACGTTTTGAATGCACAGTTCTCTGCATTTTACTAAAGGCAAAAACCACACATTCCAGCTTTTTTTGGTTGTAAATGCATACATAAAAAACACGCCGAAATGCATCACGTGTATTACAACACTGAATGCACGCTTGTTGCCTTGGGGCGTTGAAATGGGCAGTGGCGAATGCAATTCGCGTAGAAAATAAAAGCATCCAGAAATACTGTAAGACAGCAAAGTTCGTTCCGAAACTGCAAATGTGTTATGGGGAGGGGGGGGGGGAATTACGTGAGCGTGGGCAGTTTGCAGTTCAGTCAATGCATATGTCATACTGATGGGAGAGTCTAGGAAAGCCATTATTAACTGATCCTATTACGTGTACGGTGTGACAATCGACCACAATAGAAAAGAATGAAGGTGGCGGCGGGGGGTGTTGCATAACAAACAACATTTAAAATCAGAGCAGACAAAATTCAAGAGTTAGATGATAAATGAAAGCCACCAGATGTAAAACGTAGACACATTACACGCCTGGTCGACTGTCCAAGGGGTCTCATTATCCTCTTTTGGCCACAGCCAGTGGAGTAAAAAAGAAACTGTTGGAAGGAAAGAGTTATGAAAACGTAATTATCAACATAAAAAAATTCTAAGTTGTACGTAGGCGCATGTTATACGTTGTGTATTTGGCCTATTTTAATGATCTAACATGACCCAGCTCGTGCAAGAGCACAAGGCGTTGAACAGGTCCTGAGTATGGCTTCAGTCTCTGCTGACAATCTTGCTGCTGCTGCCAAGCTTTGCTGCGTTTCCTTCCAACCCTTGATGTCCCACCAACATTCTCCACGATTGCATTTTCAGACCGACAACACACGTGTATATAAAGATCACACTACAGAAACAAATTAACCTATCGACAGCGAGTCGGCAGTCCATATCGCGATTACAAGTGAGATCCGCGAGTTAAATATGATGGGACGAAGTGGTGAAATCTGTTTTACAAATGCCAGAAAAGTTACGTTAAAATGCTCTACATTGATAAGCCTTTGTCCACAGCCTTGCACATCCTTCTCTTGTTGACGCAGCCCTCAAGCCTTTCCCCACATCGCTGGCTCCCCGTGACAGCAGCAGCAGATGTCTCGCAATAGCAAACACCCGTGTACTTTGCTACAAATGGTGACATGGGTGTGAATGAGGAAATACCGCACGTAAAATGTCCTTTCTGTAGATTTGCAACGTGACAAAAAATCATGAACAAAATAACCAAATTTCCAAATCCTTTATTGTCCATTTAGAAAAACAAAATAAAGGATTAAATACATTGGTGAATGTTAGTGAAGAGGAGTAACGGTTATTTACTTTTATTTTGTTTTTCCACGCACACAATGGAGGCAGATACAATGACAGATACAAACACAATTTAAACATTTGGCCGAATCCCCACTTGCCCAGATGCGTCCACGTTCTTCCCACAATCTGCTGCTGCTTCTCCCACCCTAACCCCCCCTCCCTCCCCCCCCTCCATTCTTAGATCACATCTCCCACCATCTCCACCGCCCCCCGTCGTTTTAGAAGAACATGGCGCCCATGCTGCCCATCTCACTCTGCTCCTTGACGAAAATCTCAAAGTACTGGTAGATGATGGTGACGGCCAGAAGTATCCCGGTGCCCGAGCCGATGGCCCCCAGGAAGTCGGCGAGCACGGAGAGCGCTCCGATACAGAGTCCGCCAAACGCGGCCGCAGTCGGGATGTACCTGTGGCAGAGAACGGACGACGGGGGGCGACGGATCCGTTAAAGTGGCGGCACTGCGCTTGGCGCGGCGCGATCGTCACAAGACGTTGAGACCCACAAAGCAATCGGATGTCACATTATTGAAAACTATTAAACGGTTAATTATTTTTATTTTGAAAAGGGGTTCCCCGCACACTCAAACTATTCAACTATTTGTTTATTTTAGCAGGTAAGGCCCACTGAGCTATAAAGCTCTTTTTCAGAAGCGACCACCATGCACCTGACCTGCGGTGATGGGGCTAGGGTGAGATGTTAACAACCTTGCCTGGTATAAAGGAGGTCGCGGGTTCGATCCTGACCGACCCTGATGTCGCCTGTATATTTTACATGTTCTCCCCGTGGTCGAGTGGCTATTTCTCCAGGCCCTCCAGATTTTCCCCCCCACATTTAGAAACATGCGTTTAGAGTATTTGGCTGCTATTAACTTGCACATAAGCCACTTCTTGTAGAGCTATCGTTTGTGGGCAGGTAGCTTCTGAAAAATAGCTATACAGCAGCTCAGTGGGCCTTACCTGGTAAAACACAAAAAAATAGTTGAATCATTTGTCGAGTGTGTGGCCCACTTTTCAAATTCCAAACATTTCACAGGACCACCGCATGTCACTAGTTATTTTAAATGTGTACATTTCCTTGGTGATGATGATGCTATTAATCTTCTTGGTTCTTTCGGTAAAGTCACGTAGAAGGGAAATAATAAAATAATCAAACATAATAAAATAAATTATTAGGGAAAAAATTAAATAATAAAAACATTTGCGTTATAAAATACATATTTTTATTGTGTTTTATTTTTATTATTTAATTATTTCCCTTCTACGTGACTTTACCGAAAGAACCAAGAAGATGAATCCCTGCAGTCACGAAAGCTTTAAATCGAGATGCTATTAATTTGATTTTCTCGCAGACCACCAGGGGTCGACAGACCACAGGTTGGGAACCGCTGGGCTGGGTAAACAATCGTGATAGCCCAACTTGGCTCTGCATTCACTAGAGGGCGCTATGTGCAGTAACATTAAACGTCACGCAGTCACGAATTAAAGCAGTTTTCTCATTAAAGAAGCTTCTTCACTGTCGAACGGGACGTGATGCACATCCTTAGGTATCTTCGAAAACTACCAAACAGCAGCCGTGTCATTTCAGTTTCCTTCTTCCTTTAGCTGGGAATGACAGCGCAACGCCTACAAACCCAGATTTGCGACGCTCCCAATTGTACGAGACCGAGGTGGCCAGGAGACACGTACAAGTGGATTAAGGGCCCACCCTATGCGAAGCTTCGGTTTTTATTGCCAAATATTTGCCCTGTACCCACAAAACACTCCTTAAAATCGAATTGGCCTCAACGCACCGAGCGGGGCCCTCCTGAAGGAATTGCGAGACTCGGCGAGGCTTTCCTGGTCAATTACCACAACACAGTAAACTACACGACGACTCTTGAGAACCACGTCTGGTGTACATCAAGTCGTCCGGTGTGTAGCTACTCGTCTCGGTGCCGCAAAGTAATGGGACAGAGCTTCAACTGCATGAGACGACGGTCGATGAAGACGATCGACAAACTAGACTTGCTACCCAACAGCACCACCTGTAGGACATCAGAGACCATCCCCTCCTCACCTGTTCAGCTCATGCACCATGGACTGCTCACGATGGCCTCTCATCACCATCTGCTGCTCCTTCAGCTGCTTGGCAACCTGCGCACGCAAGGGGGAGAAAGCGAGGTACGGTGCGCATCGGTTAACTCTGCGTAGTGAACTGAACCTCAGATCACTGGGTTCACAGTGCAGAGTGCAAAACGCTTCTCGCAACACCACAATTATGCAACATTTTTTTTTAGCATGCTGGTTTGTTTAAAAATAACATCGTATTCATAGGGCTGTGCTTCAGCAGACGTGGCCAACATTGAGGCGGCATCGCGAAAGAGGATTTTCTGTAATCGATGGAGAATGTCTGAACGTTGACGCAGCTGTGAAAAGGTTGCTGAAGCTGCAGTTTTGCCTAAATTAAACCAAGTCGATCCCTTAGTCAGTAGGTACACTGTTTCCAGTTAACTACGCATGTCACTGTTCATGCTCGCCATTTTATTTTCCGTTAGGTGCAGTCAAAATTTAATTCGGAAATAAATTATTATTTATGTTATTGTCTACGTACTCTCATCTCATTTTATTTGCATGTCAGCTGGGGAACATTGCCATATGCAAGACTATAACAGCCTTCCTTTGTAGTCTACCTCATTTGTACTTTATTAATGCTGCAACTTTTTTTCCCAACCATTAACCCAAAGGAAAGAAACGTGCCTAATATCTGTACCAATGAAAAACAACCCATCATTACTATTATTAACGCTCATACTGCTTGTGAAAGAAATCCAGACAACTCTGGAGACCATGCGCCTACTGCTCTCCGACCCTTCCGGATAGAGTCAGAACGTGCCCGACGCCAAAGGGGCGCGCGCGGATGTAAAAAAACCGTCCGTGCGTAACGTACGTCCTTCGCGGACGATCCCGACACGTCGATCCACGTCTTGGAGAAGAAGGCGCAGGAGCCGAGCATGAAGATGATGTAGATGACCGTGTGCACGGGGTCGTCCAGCACGCTGCCAAGCGACTCGGGCGGCGATAGGTAGTAGCAGAGGCCTCCCACGGGGTACGAGCGTGCGGGTCCACCGCCGCCGACGTCCTACGCAGCGGCGCACGCACGGCCGCGCGTCGACGAAACATTCACTTCGTTAGGAATGAATAGGCGAATTTAATAAATTACTCGTTGAGAAATCGGTTCAGCGACGACACTGCACACCGCGTTAGAGCCACAACATGGGAGGGTTGTCCAGCTTCCTCCTCCTCCATGCGCGACTGAAAAGGAAAAATATAATAGGAGTCTAGAAAACGGCCAGGGCCTGAAATGTCACCTATTATATATTGTTTAGGTGGTTTTATTCAAGAACGTGTTGAGTTTCTTATTTGTTAATTTTGCTTGTGCAACACTGGTAATGCGGCATTGAATAATTACATTTCCTCCATGAATAGGGAATTGAGAAGTGGACTGTGAAGAAGTTAAAGCCATCGACTCGCATCACCGATCGTGGCAAACTGCACTATCGGTGATGTGCAGGGGGTACGAATTGAGTCAATCTGGTTAACCATAGAAGCCATCACGTGGCATTCCAAACTCAACTAGCAATTATAAACTTAGCCGATTGCTTTTAAAATGTGATACGAAAGAAAGAATGAATAAACAGAGGTTTATTTATCCACGTAAATACATAAAATAGCTATATATTACCATCAATCCATCACAACCGCACACGTATTTTGTACACATTGGTTGTAAGAGGGAGGTATGAGCAGAGAAAGGTAGCTGCCCGTAATGTCGGTGGATTTGTATTGAAATATTTTTTAGATGGAACTCGGGGGTAAACCATTACCAACTTTTTAAACTTTAACCAACTTTCTTTTTCAAAATAAAAAAAAATGACCACCTGCAAATAAAAATTGCCTTGTAAAGAGAAAAATGTATGAGCTAATCTTCTAGGCAAAGGACAATCTTCAGAGCAGAGAGAGGAGGGTAACAATATGGAATGTAAATAGTTTAGCAAGAGCAGGTTAGGTAACACCATTCATGAATACAATTAACATGTCGAGTGAATTTAGGCAACATTCACATCGACAGCCAGTCAATCGGAGAACAGGCAGGATTTTTCAACTGTACAGAAATTTTTATTTATGTTTAAAAAACTGCCAATAACGCTACTGGAATGATGGCACTGACAATGTCATGCCGGTCCACGGAGGTTATTCGACCATACTTCACCACACTGGTCAGTACGGGATGATGAAGTAGGGGGAGCCGGGACCGGATCAAATATGTCACGCCACCGATATTAGCCATGGCATGAATTTGAACTCATGTCACTGGCACATAGCGCAGTTATTTTAGGAAAACATATTAAATGCACTTTCAGCGTGCGTGCAAACGCATTTTACAAAAATGACACAACAAAACCTCCCTAGCCTTGGCAAACGAGAGGCTCGTATCTGCTCCGACTATCCCCACAGGATTATGCACACAAACGGGTAATAACTTTGCCTGTAGCAAAACGGGGCACGTGCGTAAAAACACAAGCGTGGCCACAGCAACGGCCTCGGGCCAAACTCACAGCCCAGGTGCCGAGCAGGTTGACGAGGAAGTTGCCGCTGAAGCGCACGGAGAGCATCTGCGAGATGACGTAGAGGTTGGAGACAAGGGCCGACTGCAGGATGATGGGGATGTTGGAGGTGTAGAAGAGCTTGATGGGGTAGGTGCTTTGCTGGCCACGGTAGCGCGCCGACTTGATGGGCAGGTCCACACGGAATCCCTGAGTGGCGAACAACAAAGATGGTGGTGGTGGTTCGTAAACATCCGCGGTTTTTTTCCCACCACCCGTCGAGCATCAGTTCCCATCAATACGTATCGGATCGTTATCAACAATATGTTGTGAATCGGCATCATCACCACATTTAACAATCGTTATTTTAACCCTTTCCGAGACGACTGCAAATTGCAGTGTGCGTTCCTGTTCACCGCCGAATCTTGGAAGTGCACAGTGACATGAGAGGTATAACGCCGTTGTTTTAAAGGCACTTATAACCGCAGGGAACTGTAGCGACACGACCGCACTCTATGATAGCCGGCACCAAACCGTGCCACACGCCCTCCCCCGCATGACAAAGTACGTGTACGTCATCGGAACAGGACCGAAACAAAAACTGATGACGTACGTCATCGCAAGCAGAATCGGTTAACCGACCTACGGTCACCACCCAGAGCAACTTAACGGGTGACCTCAATAGAAAACTACACTTCAGCCACTGGCAAAGGGAACAAGACGTACAAAGACGAATGGGAAAGGGGGGCTTACCTGGAAGTATATGACAATAGCAAAGACGAAGACGGTGGCGATGAGGTTGTGCAGGTTGGGCAGATTCTGCCGGTAGAAGGCCTCTCTGAGCGCGCGAACCTTGTCCTGCCGTGTGGCCAGCAGGTGGAAGAGCGCGATGAATGCACCCTCAAACTCCGTGCCTGTATTCGTAAGATGGAGCACGTGGGGAACCGTGCCAGACAGAGCGTTACATCTCATCGCATGGCAGCTGACAGGAAGGTTGGATGAAGTTAGTTTCCCTGCCTGTGGCAATCACCTCCTGTAGACCGGCATTTTTTCCTTTTCAAGGCCATCTTTACTGTCAATCCACCTCTGCTAGTTCCTCCTGCATGCTTTGTTGTCCATTGTTTTTACATGCCCAAATCAGACACCGATTCTTTGTATCTTTTGCACCAAAGTCTCCACTGAAGAGGCAACTGTACGGTTGACCATACGAAGTGCTTTACCATTCGACTTTACAGCACCGACCTATTGGTGGAGTATCCACATGCATATGGCACGACTGTGATAACCCACAAGACAACTGATGATTTCCCGAGTTGTCCTCCAACCGGATGTTAACTGACAACCTTCCAATGATGAGCCACACGTTCTAACCACTGCACTATCTGGCCAGTTCTACACATTCAGGTTGTCCATGCATTTGTTCTCAATTATTTCCAGTCGCTTTAACGTGGTTAATGTTGAGTCAGCATCGAGACATCAATTAAATACACAGAATAGCAATGCACAGTTTGAGAGATCCTGTGTATTTAACATATAACGTTGGTCTATAAAAAGCAGAAGGGGAGCAGCTGTTGTATACTGCAGAGATGAAGATGACAAGATGAATCTCAGTTATGCCAAGACTGGGTTAAAGAGAAAGAATAGAGCAAGCATGGTATCCCATCTGAGACAAGAAGAAAGTTGACTTAAGGCTAGCCATGTTGTAAGGAGCAAGACAATCCACATTGGCAGAAGAAATTTTGTGAACAAGGAAGCACCAAGGGCAGACCTAGCAAGAGATCATTATCGGTAAACCGGGAAATGAAGAACTGCAGAGTGGCCGTGGAGATGATGGCCCAGAACAGGAACGAGTCAAGAGGAGCAGGACAGCAGACTCCACGCGAGTGGGGGGAAATGCCAGGAAGAAGAGTTGCTCGGTGGGTAAACGTCACCAGTGTGTGTGTCTGTGTGCCCAGCGTGCCCACACACCTCGGCCCGTGTTGACCGTGGTGGGGCTGAAGGCCTTCCACACGATCGTTTCGCAGATGTTGGTGGCGATGAAGAGGGAGATTCCAGAGCCCAAGCCGTAGCCTTTTTGGAGCAGCTCATCCAGCAACAGCACGATGAGACCCGCCACGAACAACTGCCAGCATCGCAAGCAAATTCCAACAAGAACAAGCAATGCAAATCACTCGAGCACAAATTAAAATTGTGTCGTAATATACTGTGTGTGTATGTATATGTTGAACTTCTTTCGCACCGTACGTAGCCAACCAGTGCTCATCGGAGGTGTGGATAAATGTAAGACCTTTGACCAAATCACCTGAAATATGCCCGACCTCGTCAGACCTCAGAAGCTAAGCAGGCTTGAGCCTGGATCGCACTTTGGTGGGCGACGACCATGCACGAAACTGTCGGCAGAGGGCAGTGAAGCCAAACCTATTGTTGTACTGTATTATGATGCAACGTGTGTGCTCCCCGCCTTCATTAACATGCGCTAACTGGCACGGTCAAGTACAGTCGCGTTCGTGGAATGGACCTAATCCAGTAGTGGATTAAAAAAAGAAAGGGCTGTACGTGTACATACCTGGATGATGATGAGGAGGCAGATGCCGGCCCCCATCTCCGACGGCTCCCCGTACATGCCCGTCATGACGTACACGATGGCCTGCCCGATGGTGATGATCATTCCAAATACTGCGACACAAGATGCCACGATGGCAATTAAAACGCGTGTACTAACCAGATATCGCAGCAAACAAATTTGACTCAAACATTCTACCCGTGAGGCAGGACAATGACAGACATGGACTCAGTCAGACCAACAATTACTGTGCAGAGTATAACCAAATGTAGTACATTAAAAAAACAGACCAAACAACAACCAAGTGTGACTAAAATGAATTTGACTTGGCAGTATATAAGGTATGTTGAACTTATTTCGCACCGTACGTAGCCAACCGTGCTAATCGGAGGTGCGGGGTAAGGACAACACAAACTAAACACAAAAAGCAGTTTTAAAGAAATTAGTTTTCAATCTAGATTTAAAAGCGAGTAGATCCAGTGGCTTCCCTAATATCGAAAGGTAGAGCGTTCCAGACGGCCACAGAAGCCCATCTGAAAAGCGCGAGTAGAGCTCTACCAGGGGCTCCACACATTGTGATTTGTGATTACAACTCCTCCCACTCAACACGATTGCGCGAGGCCCCTGCTAGATTGACCCTTGGGGCTTGTTGGTGTCATTTGTCCGGCGTACGTTTCTGGGCGCCGTTGAAGAGCGCGCGGTCCTTGGGCGTGTCCCCGACCTCAATGATCTTGGCGCCAGCCAACAGCTGCATGATGAGCCCCGAAGTGACGATGGGCGAGATGCCCAGCTCCATTAGGGTTCCTGCAGGTGACCGCACAATACACAATGCCCTTCATTACACAGAATACATCGATTTGTGAGCACATGAAATGTCACGATTCCGGGTGAGTCAAGTTACACCATATGGTTTGTACCGACTCTTTTAGATTGTCTGACCTTTGGTTTTGTCAGAACAAATAAATGAACACATGGCTCTAGAGATTGTACTTACACCTAAGGTGGCGTTGCGTGGCATAATTAGTCCTACACACAGAGACATGCAAATTAACTAATTTTCACCTCCAATTATACACAAGTCTGATCAGCTCCCTTTCAATTTTCAATTCACACATATAAACGTTCTTGTTTACTGCTGCCTACAGCTGAGATCTGCTTCGGGGTGATGTTTGCATGAATGACACTGGATAAGTTCAAACTACTACCGTCATCATTATTCTCTGGACTTTTGCTGATGTCCGGATGTTGATAATTTACCGTCACTCCACCTGGTTCACGGTGTGTTTCACCTCTGTACTTTGTTTATCTGTGCGTCATCTCAAAACATTTTTGCCGGAAATTTTATGTGTAATGTTCAACGTTTTGGGATACGGTTTACATAATTGACGCTACATCAAATAAAAGTAACCGCACTCTGCACGTGCAGCCTCACCACCACTACCTGCCTCGCATGTGTGTGTAGGTTCAGCTGTACTTGCCGTCTTTTGTGGTGGCATTTAGCATTTTGTACTGACGCCTCTTTTGTTACGTACATGTGTCAGGCAAGGTATATTTTAACCTGTTGGCCAGGTTAGGTGAGGTAGCAAGGCGAAGGCGGTATACAGAAAATGGTTTCTGAATCCGCTTTTTGGGTACTTAAAAGATTCCCTCCCGTGTGTAAACAGCCATAAAGAATTGGCAACACAACCCAAAGTGGGGGACCATCCTGAAAGCACATCTTGAGACTCAACGAGCCTCACAGATTAAGGAACATTAGTAGTTAAACTGGTAAGCAAAGAATGTGGAAGAATGCCAAGTATCCGATAGACACTTCCGCTTGAGCAATGTCAGCGGACATGCCTCATTTGCCTACGCGTCACTACCCATCAGGTCTCTACTCGCCTACACTGGGCAAGATGCCAGCCAGAGAACAAATCGCACTTGGGCAGGTGAAATTAATACGCGCAAGCACACGAGACATATGCACGCACTCGCTGGCGTATGTGTCCGAGAATTTGGTATACTTGAGCGTTTGGACATATTTTGCAATGAATGTATGTGTGTGCGTGTCTCTACTCGCCCACACTGGGCAAGATACCAGCCAGAGAACAAATCGCACTTGGGCAGGTGAAATTAATACACGCAAGTACACGAGACATATGCACTCACTAGCTAGCGTATGTGTCCGAGAATTTGGTATACTTGAGCGTTTGGATATATTTTGCAATGAATGTATGTGTGTGTGTGCGTGTTGTAAGGGCTGTGGAGAAGTGGTGAACGCACTGAACTCCGAACCCAATCCGCCAAGTCCGAGTCACAGCCACAGACAATATCAAAAGCAACGTACATCGACCGAAGCAGTCCTGACCCACCCTTATATCTACTCAGCCTTAAAGATTACCCCTGGTGTGCATTGTGTAAACATCAGTACTCAGAGGACAAATGTGATGGAGGCCCAGCATTGGGTGGCCTCACCAAAAGCTCTCAAGCGGTTCCGGCCTTAATAGGTTCTCGTAACGAGCACCTGCCCCCAACAGTCTGATAAGAGGCTACACGGGACATCTTTGTCGGTCTAAAACATGGGATAGTAGTGCTTCAGCATAGACTGCATGTAACATTATTTCATCCACACTGTTAAAATGTCTCTCACTCACCGATACGGATCCCCTCTGCAGTCTAGGACGAGTCATTACAATTCCACCTCTGCATTAAGTCACAGTTTTCTTTGTAAAAACAGAAACGCGTGTGTGATCCTTGTGCACTGTTATTCCATAATTGTGACAATGGAAAAGCCTAGAAAAACAAACAGCAGGTACTGAAGAAGGTACATTCATTTGGGTCCAAGGTGCAGAGTTACCTTGTGGCAAGCAGTATTAATTAGGCACTGGTCTTGGTTGCAAATGCCGACAGTGTTACGAAGCACGTATAAAAGTGTAGGGTAGCAAAACAAGTATGCAGTGTTGTAACCTTTAGTTCCTGTTTTCAAAGAGCTGCTTATAGATTAGGTTTAAGGCGGTGGGAGAATTCACAAATAGGTATTCGTTCACGATTGCCTCATCCATATATGATGGCCTTCAAAATGGAAGTCTAATGCCGAGCGAGTTTTCTTACAATGTGATCTTTCTTACAATGTGATCGTAGCAATATCTTGCTAAGAGACAACGCTCTTAAGTTATGTGCTTTAGAAACAAAATTGTCTTTTTATCACTTAGCCTGTGTATGATTAACCTAGCTTGGGCACACCGATGTCGCATATTTTACTACACTGCTTCGTCGTAATGCGCACGTGGCTTTGACGAGCCTATTTCCCATACGTGTGTAGTCACTAGCTTGCCATTTGTGTGCCTCTGAAATCTGCACATTTTATTTCCAGATGTGAGAGTGGCTTGGCACCGTCATCGTGAACCCATGCCAGAAAATATCCCGATTGTTGCCGAACGTGCCGGCGGTCTCTCTTATGCTGCCTCCATTTCATGGAACATCCTTTGTCTTTGTATTGATGCATTTCAAGTCCAATAGGTCTGCATTTCACGAGATATTTTACTTGTATGCAATCAAGGTCAAAATGGTTTCCAGCGAGCGTGGGGGGGGGGGGGGGAGCACTGATTTCATATTTACACCCCGCCCCATCCCGAGCCATTATTGGAATATCCACATTCACATGGCAGGAGTGAGTCTATCCACAGGACAATCACAAAAGCTCATTAGTTATTAGTTTGAGGTCACGTTACCTCTGTTGGACGCCAAGATTACTCTCATCCAGTAGAAGGGATCTGCAGAGTCTGATGACATGATCCCAAACAGAGGAATCTGCAAATGACCGAAGCACATTAACATCATTGTCATCATTCATTCTCAATAAATTTGAAAGCATTTCTAACATATTGTGCCACTGCTATCAGTAATTAAGCGGAGCACACAATAGATACACCAAGCAAAAGCAAACCGCGCTATGAACCCGGCGACCCGAGTTAAATTAGCGGCCACGGATATCATGAATGGCGAGTGACATCCGAGCCAGTTTAATTCCGCCCTCAAACCCCCCCAAACAACAAGCTTTCTTTCGGCAGTGATTGACAAACGGATGCACTTCATAACACGTGATTAAAAGCGTGTGCTTTGATTTACAAACTTTGTGAGAACAGTGCTACCCCCATACAAGACTCCTGTTCACTCACCTGGCAGCACACCAAAAAGATGAAGAGGGTGATTGCCGTCCATAGCACCTTTTCCCTGAACTGGATCTGTGGGTGTACATCGCACACAAGGTTGACACTACACACCAGATCGCAGGGACTTGGACACAGAGGCCATAAACTTAAACTCCGTACAAACACGACCTTTTTGCAATCTACAAAGCACAATGCTGTGCACTTTCCACTGTGCCGAAGCTGCCAACAGATGCTTATGTGCAAAGGCATTCCCACAGCAATCATAAGCTCTGACAATGTCAATATTTTTCTAACATACTGCCCAACTGCTGCAAGTCGTACTTTTTTTATCTGCGAAGTATCCAGCTCTGCGATTTTACCAGTAAGATGATTTTTATGATAAGTGAGCAAACTGCTGAGTAAAACCCTCGTCAGCATGCCCATGAAAAATCAAGACTTTCAAGTGCCTCCACACAAATCACCTTACACACCGAGCATAGGACCAACTCAGCTATATTATTGTTCAACTACACAAACATATTTAGTATTATTCTGATAGCGTGTATTATTATTTTTTAAGCCCAGAACTCTAGTTGGTATTCTTTATGCATTCTCTCCTCTGCATTTAACAAAATAACAATAGCTCCAATGAAAATTATATTAAGACATGAAACAGAGAAATGCCATCAAGCAAGTCTAAGCTGCCAAGCTAGAGGTGGAGTTCCATACGGCACAGACGATCAGGTTCTCAAGACAATGACACACCGCCATCATTTTGTATTGTTTGTAAGATCACTCACCTTTCGTTCTGGTTTTTGGACCTCGGGGAGAACCGCACAAAACGGCTTGATCACTTCGAGGAATTTCACTGCAAGAAAACACGAACCACGGGGCTTTGAATCATAAAATATGGATGGCCATTCATAAAAGATTATGTAATTGCATAACCGTGCCGCTTATAGGCATGGATCAGCTGCTCATACATGTCCTGTTAGAGAGTGCCTATTCAAGATTGTACAGTACATGACAGGGTAGTCAGTCCAACAATCGCATGCCTGCCTACGGCTTCCCAGTGTTAATATTGACCAAGAAGTCCAGGATATTTGTATAAGGCTCCAATGACTAAAAGGCTTAGGGCAAATTCGTATACCCATGACCACTTGCGACATGCATGGCCATGCACTGCAAATATAATAAAGTGATAAGGTTGTAATATGATGATAAAATGGTTAAGTTATTTTATAATCTGTTATTAAAAATGTAAAGGCCGTTATTATAACTGACCACAAGCATAAAGGCCCAGACTCCACATTAAATCCATCCTCTTACTCCAAACTTGAATGGGTTAACTACAATAGTATTCATAACGAATTCACAATAGTAATATTAACTTTACACGAGTTGTAACAATGACAAAATATTACATCACCCCTGCATCGAAAAATAGACCCAATTACCAAGTTTATTAAAATTGGACCTGCTTCGCAAAATGTCAATTACAACCTTACCAATGACATAACCACTGTGATAATAACTAACAATAACATTAACACTAAATTAACCACAGCAATTATAACTAAACCTCTATTTACATGAACCACTGCATAAGCCCCACAATTATTTCAAGCGGTCACTCACTTGTTCAATATATACAATTAATATACTAACATTAATCAGTGCAGCAAAACCCATTGTGATAATGCAATATTCTCCCACGTACTCACTGCGTTCACCAATCTGTAACCGACCAGTGCGGTAACGCAGGGTGAAATAAACCCAAGACCCTCCAGGCTAAGAGCAGTGTTCTTCACTAACTTTCGGGGTAGAGCACTTTCGCCGATAAGACATCGTCAGTGTAAGGGTCGCCACACCGCCTGAAGGGGTGTTTTCATCACGAGTTGTATTGTCAGGGGCCACACGAAAGGCTACCAGGGGCCACCAGGGGGCCGACAAAGGACCGCAGGCCTTGCAGTGACGAACACACGGGCTTAAATAGAGCACACCATCCGCAGTGGACTGACAAAAAACGTGCCGTGCTAACATTAATACATTATCAATGGCCACTATTAACCACGTGCCCTTAAAAGAGCATCTCGTGCAATCTCAGCCATTGTTACCAATTAAGATAAAGATCACTCGTCACTGTTAATCCGCGCCCCCTACAGAATCAGATCCAGCCTCCACATTCATTCAAACAGCCTCACCTCGACTCGCTCTCAATTACAATGGTAACAATTAACTACGACGATCATGATACATTCACTATAACGCAATGATCGATTAACGGCCTATGACAATTATATTATTGCCAATTATCATTCCCTATGGACCGACGCCGAATCCATTCCAACATCCTCTCAATTATAAAACGAATTATCCTATCACCATCGAGATTATGATAATAGTCAATTGTTCATTAATTAAGATGAATAATTCACGATAAATCTCCTTCCAAAATTGTAACGAGCAATACATTAGCTTTAAAACAATGACACAACCACTATTAATATGAAACTTGAAAGTTCTAGGCCACATATGCATTCAAACAGCCAGTATTGTCTATTCAAACCTTTCTTCTCAATAAATATACTGAAACATTACTAAAATATTAATTCACGTACCGTAAAATAAACCCGTTAACGATTCCATTATAACCATCAATTAACAAGTTCAAAACGTATCGTTCTCATTTTATATTCAGGTATAATGTATTCTGCAATAATACATTGTATGGTACCATCATTGTTGAAATCTCTTCTATGAAGGTACCTAATGGTACCAAGGCCCCCCAATCAGCCTCTCGTTTACCCTAGCCATGATCGCACTAACAATGACCCACGTTAATAATACGTAAACTACAGTAGAACAATTAACTACTGTATAAATGTGCATGCCCATAGAACAATATTAACCATAACTTGCCTAAAACAATTATAATCACTCATTATCAAGGGCCCTTATGGACCCTGGCCGCAAATCAATTTAACCTGTCATTTAACATCTGTCAGTCTCAATTATAATGCAGTGCTAACAATTAACTATAATGTCCATTATACGTTAACAATTATTTAATGTATTACAAGGTGCCTAGGACATACATTCAGCCTCTCAAGTAGCCTATTCTCTCAACAATTCCAACACTTAACTATGTTAATGGTAATTATAAGAGTATTAACACATCAGGTTATAACCATAAGGACTCTTCTGGATCCAGCCTTCATATATTCATTCGAACATCCTCTTCATTACCCTCACAATTATCACACGACTTACCTTCATTACAAATCAACTACAAGTCAGAATACATTAATATAATTAACCATATGTCTTTGGTTATTACCAATTAACTGAACAGTAACATTTATAATTATGACATTAACACCATCTCGTTCACTTTCTCAATTACAACGCTACAATTACCAATCGTGACGATGACATTAAAAACAATTATAAATTTGCCTGCGAGAAATTATAAATAAATTAATTAAATAAACCACACGGGACGACCCTTATGGTGGAACCTAGGCCTCACCGTCCCTTCAAACTCTTCATTTCTCGCCTTACGCATCACCCATAATACTCGTTCAACTATTAAACATCGTACACATACATTACACACCCGCGGACGAGTGTAGAACGATTACGACAACGCTTAATAATGATTAATGAACGTAGCAAAGATGCGAGTTCGCAAAGCGTTGATGGGGGGCGGGCGAGCGGGCGGGAGGTCTTCACTCACTGCCCATGTCGGTCGGTCGATCGCCCTCAGTGGGCTCTGGTCAATCTTCTCGAAGCGAACGCGGCTGTGGTGATGATGTTGGTGGTCGTGCCTTTCGTGGGACCGCACGCGAGACAGAGACCAGGGGAAGAGAGAAGCCGAAGCCGCCGCCGCCGTCTGAACCCGGGACGGGATCCGTGGCCAGCACACACAAAAAAAGAGCTACGTCAGCGATGCCGACACTCAAATCCCTACTATCGATCGGGCACCGCGTGCGACACCGATTGGTCGAATCGCGTCACGTGTGGGCGAGCGTCCAATCGGCAGCGAAGGGATGAGGAGGGTGGAGGGGGGGGGGAATTACCCGAGCGCTCGACCAATGAGAGGCGGCGACGCGCAACACTCGCGGCCTATCCGCGCTAACAAATGCAGAGGCGTCGTCCGCGCAACGTTGCGCGCTTGTGGCAACGTCACCACAGCCGGCGGCGGACGCGAGATCGATTTTATTTTTCACTTCCAAGCGCGGCGTCAGACGTTTCGCGACGACAGAGCAACTTTGTGAGGGCGTCGGTAATTTATTTTTTACTTCTAGCCGCTATGAAGTTGTCGCGCTCATCCCAGCCAACCAATCAGCGTCGTTCTTGAAAGCGCGGACGCACGGCCTGGTTTTTTTTAAAGACGCCGCCTCCGATTGGTCGATGGGCGGACCACGTGGCCGCTGCGTGTACACGTGGCTCTCAGCGGAACGTGGTGGATTGGTCCGCGTGGCAGAGCTCCCAGTGGATAACACTGGTCAAGACACTTTTTCTGGCACAAGGTATTCCAACGGTTTTAAGGTAATTTTGGGGTGCTGATTCCAAATCTGGCATCAGTTTGTGTCTATCACATCAGGTTTTTGAGATATCAAATATTGCATTTTCAATAAAAACTGTGGAAGAAAAATGTTAAATAAATGTGGATATCTACATAAAATGATATTATAAACACACTATCCTAAAAATACAGCACTATATTTTAACACTAAAGCAGCCACTGACTCGCAACACCTTGCAATCATAAGTGACAGAGTTAATTTCGGGTAAAATCAATGAAAATGGGGTATGCCGATAGCATAAAAATGAGATGTGACAGAGCAAATCTGAGATCAGATTTGGAATCGGCACCCTGAAATTAGTCTAAAACAGTTGCAAAAGTCCAGGCCAGAAAAAGAAGTTGTTTTTTGTTGACCAGAGTAATTGCCACCGCTACGCCGTGGTCTATCCATTGCTGGATGAAGCCCCCCCCCCCACTCCACACACATCCGTGTTGATATCCTCGCAGCAAAGCGACCGTCTCCACAGTTAAATTATTTGGACGTCCGTGGAAAAAAATTGCGTTGTAGCCCATCGGATTCCTCCGATGTCGAATTGTCGGATGCTGCGTTGACGGCGGTGCACCAATAAAACCCGACAGTCGTTAATGATCGCCGTAGGGTAATATAATGGGCGACGTTTCGCGTAATGACCATCATTGCAGAACACGTGTGCTGTGAAAGGTCCATTGCCTGTGGGTGATTTCACTCCGTTAGCTGTCATTCCATCACCAGCCTTCATACCTGTCAACCCTTTGTCGGTGCTTACCTTATTACACACCAATTCAGACTTTATTGGTCACCCCGTGCCCTTGTACATCTCATCCTGCAAAGTCCCATCACAAGGGAGAAACGCAAACAAATAGACGAAAGAATTAGACTTTTCCTGGTCTCTTGAGTTCTCACAGCAGGTTAAACTTGTAAACTCGTAACAGATTTTTTTTTTCCTGCCATTCGAGGCCTGTAGGTGTCACCCTTGCATCGCTGATAGGTAAAACAAGCATTGTGAATCTCACCAAGGCAATAAAGCCAGGGCAAACTTGTCAAGCATTTACAATAAGCTGTACAACTATTTTTACTTAAAACGTTCGTGACTGCAGGAATTCATATTCTTGGTTCTTTCGGTAAAGTCACGTAGATATAAAAAAAATATTAAAAGCAAAAAACCACGACGTTTCGATCGCAACACAAGCGGTCTTCATCAGGCGGAGAGAAAAGAGGGGGCAAGCTTCCAAATGCAGCTGCTTCTAAGGGCTTTCAGAGTGAGCAAAGCTGTGCGGAGTAAACAGCATGGGCTGGGCAGCCAACGTCAATGTCGGAGCAGGTAATGCCCACTGAGTTTCTAGCTCTTTATCAGAAACGACCTGGCCACAAATGATAGCTCAACGAAGTGGCTTATGTTGAAATTAATAGCAACCACATACTCGAAGCCTATGTTTCTAAATGTGGAGGGGAAAAGCGGAGGACCCGGAGAAAAATCCACCCCACCATGGGAAAAGAGATAACATGCAAACTACAAATATACAGCAGGCGTCAGGGTCAGAATCAAACTCACGACCTCCTGTATACCAGGCGAGGCAGATAACATATCGTGACCTTTACATGCAATAAATATACCCACCTCTCACAATCAGATCCTTTGCACTTGCATTGGAGCCCCGGGGGCAGAGAGATGTTCGCAATTGTTAGATATATTTAGAGCTATGGCAACCGCTTGTTGAGATTGTGTGGCATGGGGATTTGGATTTATAACAATCTAATGCAGTGTGGTTGTACTAACTAATGTGATAAACAATTAGGCGCGTGCTAGCGTGTTCCTATTCATCAGATTTAGAATATTCTTATATTGTAATTCCTGTTTCCGTATATATGTGTTAATATCTTCGTTACCTCCCAGAGCGATGCGATTTGGCCGTTTCGTCAGGTGTGAATCTAGCCAGGTTTTTGTAACCTCATCATGAAATCTAACTTCTCCCCTCGCCAATCACCTCGACACAGGGTGGAGAGGTGGCGCGCTATTTAACATCCTCTGCTTTGAACCCAGCAACCTTCACCCTTTCCCAGTGACCAGGGACGGATGGTAGTATTACTAAAATTAGCCAAGAATGTGTGTAACGCGAGTAACGTCACTCCATATGCCCCCCCCCCCGTCTTTAATATTCATGAGCGGGTGTATTTTTACACTCGCGCAGAAGGTCGAGCGGAAATATTTTTTTTCGCAAATTCGCATTAAGTTGGACGTTTCTTTATTTAAAGTGAATCTAATAAATAATTATACGCAGCAACAAAGTGGATTTGGTGTCTTTATTTATTTCTTCAGCACTTGAGACAAAAGGTAAGTCGAATTTATGCTTCTTACATTATGGTAAAATAGACATTTCATGGTGATTTTCCAGATATTGTATCCAATTCCAATTTTTATCAACCCCAGTGACCGAAAGCAGAAGAGAATAAAGTATCAGAGCAGTGAATTTGAATAAATGTAGTTATATACAGTGCTACAGTGACCTGTAGTGAAGTTTTGATAAATACTTTTGTGCAAGATTCACTGCCATAAAATTTACACAAGATACAAGTATACTCTGCTCAATTTTCTCGTAAACATTACAGCCTCCGTCCTTGGATGGGCAAACAAGCTAATTTTCTTTTATATTTGCCAGAGAGATTGATTAGGGCAGTGTTCTTCAAGAGTGTTCAGATGGGCGCCACTTTCGCCGACAAGGCATCAGTGTGAGGCGCGCCACACCGCATGCAAGGCGTGTTTTCACAATTGTGTATTGTCAGGGACCGTACGAAAGGCTACTAATAAAGAATACTGAATTAGGGCTCTACTTGGGACGTCGAGGTCCATCTCTGCCAGCTACAACTAGCATCAGTGGCGATTGATATCTGAATCGGTCACCAACCCGCACGGACCAACTTGGCGACATAAACTCAAACAACTACTCCGACCAAGGCAGCATAGGGAGGCCTCGTCCATCAGTGGTTTGACAAAGGGCTGTCAATTATATAAATTATGCGTGGCTAACACTTGTTCAATGTCTCTAACAACCACGTAGCCTTGTGGACAAGTGCCATTGGCCCGGCGGTAGTGGGTTTTGTCGATTGTTGCAGAGGTCCATGGTTCAAACCCAGCGGCCGCCCTGGTTAATACTGTGGTGTGCATTCACAGTAATTATACGCGCCGTCTGCTGCCCGCTTGACGTTAAAGACTCCCCGATGTTAATTGCAAGAGTATGCATTTGCAGCGCAAATTCGAAAATTAGCAGCAAATTACTCAATTGGGATTATGCGTTGCCATAATTGCCCCCTCCAGCAGACTAAAGCTGCAAACCTGCTTAAACAAGATAACATTGAAGCTTGAATTTGGTTCTTGAATTTGGTTCTTCACTGGTAGTGAAGGGTTTACCTCCATATCCTCGTTGTGATTATGCAAATTTCAGGTTACCCTTTCGTCATGCGCAAATGCTCATTTTTAGAAGGTTATTTCAACGCGCCAATTTCTAAGCAATCAGAATATTTCCATTATCGGAGTGGCTGGCTTATTGCCAGTTCGTGATGTGTGCTGAGCATTCCAGTTTACAATTGTGCCCCAGGTGTGGCTATTAACTGGTATGCAGCCAGCCCTTAATCAGATGTATGCAATGCTGGCTGCATCTGGCGCAAAGAAACACTGTTCGTCTTTATTTCAGGGGAATTTCTGCGTGACCTACTGACTGTGTGCCCGTGTGACTCCTGAGTGAGTAGTGTGTTCCACATCTCAGGTCAGTATCTGGGGAGTGGTGGCGCAGTGATTAGCGCACTGCTGCTACGAACCCAGCAAAACGAGTTCGATTCTCGTTCACGGTCAATAGCAGTCGCCCGTCACCCCCACTAATGTCCCCCCCCCCCCTCCAATGTGTGCAGATACTACTGACTATGTTGTATGTAGGATATGTAGGCATAGATGCCTACAAAATACATTTATTTTGGGGGCGGGGGGTCGACAATTTTTGTAAACCTGTTGGATCAACTTTTAATCCCCACATCTGATTCAGGCCTTCTGAAAGGCTCTTATGATTTAATTGACGGTCAAACTAACAAACGTAACGCCAGGCTTTTATCATAGATTTGGCTGCTGCTATTACATTTCCACGTGATAAGCCACTTCGTTGAGCTATCCATTTGTGGCCAGGTCGCTTGTGAAAAAGAGCGATAAACAAAGTAGTTAAATAGTAATAGTAGCAAGTGCAAGATACAGCTTTTGAAACCGTCCCTTTCATACGTAGACATATTTATATAGAATAAATAGCTCCTACGGTCCCACCAGTGTATTGTGCATGAACTATTCTCACACCATAAATCATGCATGTTGGGTAAAAGGTCACTGGGAGTTTGATGG